TCACGGACATAGCTGAAGTTTCCTCGCTCAGTGGTTCGGCAAGACCATCCCTCAATTTGGCCCGTACCTCCTACACGTCGGGTGAAGCCACTCCTTCCGAGGAGGGCAATCCGAATAGTGTCCTGAGCAGGCCTAGGCCTGTTGAAGGAAACAATCTGTTTGGAGGACGCCAGAAGGTTTATAAGATTCCCGTCAAGAACAGCTCAACTGGCGACTCTGACTCGATGGAGAGGGGATCAAGCGGAAGTATGGGCGGCAAGGCGATCTATGAGAACGATATGCCTATGTCAACGTTTCAGAAGATCAAAGAGAAGGAACGAATGGAAAGAGAGGAGAGTCCGGACCTGCACGGAGTCGCCAAGCAGCTCGAGGACGAAATTTTATCACAATTACCAGGCGAGCATGGTACGCCGCCACCAAATGCCAACGATTCTCAGCCAGTTATCCCCGAACATGGATCAGCCTCTTCAACGCCAATAAAGCACAACTTCCCTGGATTAGATAGAAGTGGAACCAAAACGCGACGCTTGTATGGACAAGGCCTCGAGCTTCAGAATCAACAATCTTCGGCTCTGGATAGGATCGAAAGCTTAAGCAGGAGGCCTAAAGTCCCTGATCCTACACAGATAACCCGATCGCTCTCCAAAAGTGCTGCTAACTTGAATGAGAAATACCAAAAGCTCTCCCCAGTTTATGCTTCGTCCAATTTTCGCCCAAATAGCCCCCCTCTGTCCGCGTCCTCTATTTCAGGGAACGAATTAAGCAGGAAGGCCGGCCCTGCGAGTGGTGCTGGTTCTGGCCAAGGGTACCCAGGCGTTGCTCCCCTAAGCCCACCTTTGAGTGAAAGTGGAGAAGTATCGCCCCTTGCAGCCGCCCTTCAGCCAGAAGATAGAGGCAAGGCCACGGCTGCAGGCCTATTCAATAAGCCATCGCATAAATATGATGAATCTCAATTTCAGCAGCGCCAAGTTCAGATGTTTGAAGGCAGAAATACTTCTCCCTTCCGGCGTCCTTCACCGTCTCATGGAGGCTCCGAGGTCGAAAGAGGAGGGCGGTCTAGAGGTTTGTCGACGACCAGCTATCGTTCCAGGGCCGAGTCAGCAGCTTCGGCATATGGCGATTCTCAAGATGGACGTCCACCCCGTTCTACCCCTAGCCTTCGAAGGGCTTCGCCGCCTCGGATGGGAAATGGAACGTTTCTGGCGAACTTTAGTGAAAGCGAAGCGGGTAGTGATGCTGAAGCAGAGGTTTGCCCAAAGTCGAACGTTGTGGCTTCTGCTCCAAAGTTGGATGGTACTCATGCAAGCTTAAGGAGCAGCACCGCATCGAGCGACTCTGCGATGTACAGTCAACCTAGCAGGTCCTATTCGACCCAATCTGAGCTCAAGCATTCGGAATCTCGTGACCTTAAGACTATAAATGAAATTGAAACAGCGGACCCTTCGCTTTCATTAGGCGGCGGGGAGGAGGTCAAAAAGTCAAGAGATTCACCAACTCTAGGACCATCAGAAACTGGGGGCCTAAGTGGCCTAATTCGGATGCATTTGAGGCATGACAGCGATAAATCCTCCATATTTCCTCCTCCTTCTCCAGGGCCTCCTAGTTCTTTCGATAACCATCGCGCCCATAATCCTTCTCTACAAGCCGCGAGAGAATCAAGCCACTCTGCGAGCATTCATAGTAATCCCTGGGAACTAGATGATTGGGGAAAACCGTCACAAACCCCCGAAAGATCCAACCATTCTCCTCCGCGTTTGTCACAACACCCTGATCAACAGCCCTCCCAACAACAGGGAGGCTTTTCAATGATGTCTCTGCGAGCTAAGCAGATGCTTGACCAGGCAAATGCTCTCAGCAATCAAGGACATTCCCCGGACCCCGTCATCAAAGGCACGGATCACAGATCCTCAGGGCCCCAAGCATCGTGGCAGGAGGAGCTTCACCAAGGGCATCGACGAGGTGGCAGTTCAGAGACACAAATGGAGCGAGAGGAATTGGCGCACGAGTTAGCTGAACGACGAAGGAGAGTCCAAGAGAAATTGAAGAGCTTTGTGGAAACTGAAGGTAGTAGGTCGACTAGCCCAACCTCTGGAGGTTTCCGAGACATTGGACCTGCAAAGCCTGGCAATGCATTCGCGATGATGAAGAACAAATCCAGCCGAACCAACGGCATGCATGATGTTCCCCACCCGAAACCGCTGAAAGTACTAGGCATGGAAAGCACTGCTCATAGTGCTTCTGCACCAAACCTCGTGTCCAAAGGCGAACCTTGGCCTGATGAAGAGGAGAGGATGCTTCGTGACTACGGGAGACAGCCTCGAAACTCATCACCCCACATCGGTGCCCGGCATGGCAGACCACGTCAACCGCAAGCTCCACCTCCTCTCCGCGAGAGCCAGGATGAATCTAGAAATACTTTCCGCGACGGACCATCTGCACCTTGGAGACACCCTCGGGATGTAAGGGATAGATCAACATCCGATGCCTCCGGGCGATCGAAGAGCCGCCCCAGGTATCGGGAAGACTTGGACAATTTTGGTAGAGGTGTGGACAGTCCGCAACACAGGTCCGCTGGGGAGGAAAACAAGCCTTATCGAGGGCCCCCTTCTGGACCTTCTTCGACACGGCCTTCGGCTGAAAACGAACGCCTCCCATCCGATAGGTCTGGATCTTCGATGGGAGGTCGGTTACGGAGCAATAGTCGACCAGTGCCGCCTAGTTTTCCCGATGCTCGAATCCCACACCCTGTGCAGACGGGGCAGGCACTAGGGATCGGCTCCTCTCCTCGGCCATCACCGGTCACTCCTTACTCGGCCAATGCAACTCCGCCTCTGTACGAAACCTCTCCTCCGAATATTTCAATGGCTGCCTCGAATGCGTACGGTGGTGGCTCGGCACCGAACCAAAATGCGCAATGGAACCAAAGTCTGGGCGCTCACAAGAGAGTTATTGATAAATCGCAGATCTCTGAACCCAAATTTGTCTCGAGTACTTCCAACGTCCCGACTGTCGGACTCCCTCCGGGTGCCAGCCTCAGCAACGGAAGCTCTACGCCCCCGGTTCCGCCCATGAACCCCAGAAGACGTCGACCAACGGCGACCCAGACGATCCTGGGCGCCTTCAAAGGTTCTTCTGACAGACTTGACGCGTCGACAATGCCTGGATCCTCAAGCAAGTTCCCAGAGGAACAGAGCACGTTCTCAGACGAGGACAAGCGGTCTCGACCACGCCAGCGGCTACGCAAGATCTCAAGCGAAGGCGGGAATCTCAACGCCAAAGCGCGGCAGCAGGCGATGATGGCGAAATCGCCCGCGATGCCCCAAGTGCCAGCCCAGGTTGGAGGTCCCATGGAAGGAGGTATGTTCTGAGGGAGGTCGGGCCGAGCCGGGTATGTTCCTACTGGCATAGGTGTCTTTGTTTTTATGTATGTTTCCCTGGGGATATCTTTCTACTTTTTCTCTTCGATGTACCAATTTTTATCATAATCTTTTCCTGCTGTGGACATTTTTTTTCCCCTTTTTCCACTTTGGGATATGGTTTTTCTTCTATCATAATACCCCTGAGAAACCCTTTATTTTTGGGATCAGTTTCTGTTTCACTGTACAAGTTATACTTTTTAACCGATTATTACCACACCCCTTTTTTCTTTTTCTTATTTTTTTTAGAGAGGAGTTGTTGGAAGAAGGTTGGTTAAAATCGTTCCAACCAGCCCCCGACTACCACAAAATGTGAGAGGGCTTGAGAAAGTCCGCGGGGAATCCTCGTCCGGAATCGTATTGCACACGCTTATTCCCTTCTTTCACGGCCAAACTTTCTCTGCTTCGGGCTGGCTATGGATCGTGAGCGTCATTAAGGTCAGGGGATGATTTTGGGTCGGTTTTTAAGGTGTATCTGTAAGTTAGGGTTAGGGCGATGGAAGGCTGTACTTTGTACGGAGTACTCAACAGGCAGTATTCGAATTACCGAAAAGCAAAAAACAAAAAAAATCATTATACAGATTATCCAGGACAAATGTAATTTAAACGCTCCTTTCCCCCCTCCAGAACACTCCGGCTTCCCGCGGCACAGAGGTATCACTACGAGATGCAGGGCGAGAAATCCTTTGCGTCACCCGCGGCTGGAACCACAGAGTTCACAGGGCGCTGGGGGGTGCCTGGGAAAGCCGGCGAATCAGCGGGGAAGGGAGCATGCTGATGTAATTGGACAGGGAGAGCTTCGAGATGTCCTTTGTCTCGCCCGGCTGGTTTCGCTGGCCTGATGAGCAACGAGCACTGTAGAAAGCGATCCGTTATTCTGCTGGGGATGGCGTAGAGAGAAAAGAAAGAAAGAAAGAAAGAAAGAAAGGGTCATCATACTTGGCAGTCCACAGGGTGCTGCATCATCCCATGGGGGTAAAGTCAAGTAAGCTGATAGACGGCATCTTTGCTAGGCACCTCAGAGCTGAGCAGATGAAACTGATAATGTAGCCGATCTTCTATGAGATGGGATAAGACGCTCTCTGCGCTTCCAGAGCTGGGGCATTTTCATTCTGGAAATGTGTGTGTGTGTGTGTGTGGTCGGTGCTGGTCGGTCGGCGCAACAGGCACCCTGACATCATCCAAAAATGCAAAATCCAGAGTAGCGATGCCATCACAGAGAGCGAGAGTGTGTGTGTGTGAGCAGCAGCAGATACTCGCCAGGCCAACCGTGGGAAATGCCACACACACCACGTCTCCCACACCCGCACGTGTGAAATTCTTCAAAATTCACGCTTGTTGCTTCTGCTGCTCTTCCTGCTGTCTTGCTTTCTTCCTTCCCTCTATCTCTCTCCCTTCACAACCACAACTACAATATACCAACTCTCATCCTCTACTCACTGACTCTTTCAACTGCAACTCAGTCCCAAAGGATTTAAATCTTGTCCCTATCGGCCTCTTCTTCTTCTTCTTCTTCTTCTTCTTCTTCTCCTTCTTCTTCTTGTTCTTCTTCTTTTTAATTTCTTTTGCAAAAGCAACCCCAAAATGAGTTCCACAGAGTCCACTGTCACTGTCACTGTGAGAAGCGCACAGCCCAGTCCCACCCTGCAGGCCATGGAGCCTACAGCCGACCAGGGAAAAGGACGCGACGACTGTGAGAGAACCACATTCCGGAAAAACGGGATAGTCTTTGGGCATCATTCCGACTCGTCGACAGAGACAGCCGTGCCTCCCGGTCCAGCCCCCCCTGCTACGCAGCAAGACAAAGCCAACGGTCAAAATAGCGACACTCAGCCGCTCATCCCTCACGCAGAAGGCTGCTATCTGGGATATGACCCTCCGGGTCCTCAGGGTTTCCTTAATGGTGGGTATTATGAAGCTCAACGAACTTATCCGATGCAGAGCACACCGTATCATCCAGATGGTTGCGCAGGACCCCATACTGTGACTGGTCAGGGGTACTACTGGGGGGCCGCGCAATACCAGAATAGTGTTACAGCTCCGAGTCCAGTCGAAGTGGGATTTCATACAAATAACTTAGATGCGTACGGACTTCTTGCCGAATTCCACCAGTCCCAGCAGGCCCGGCTTCGAGAACCTAATCATAGTGCGGGGCCTTACAGCAACGGTGCCTTGGCTGGGATAACTGAGCCGTTCCGCTCTGATATGCAGCCTTGTGCGGCTGGCCCGATGCATCGAATTTGGGAGTATGGTCATCAGGGCCACATGGAGACTCGTGAGCCACCACCGGTTAAAGAAATGATCAATCATTTTCTCAATTTGTTCGTATCCGGTGAACGCACCGATTACTGTTTGAACCTGATGCCAACCAAGGACGGAATCCGGCCACAGCTCCTTGGTGCACACAGTGTCGTTATGTGTAGGAACAAGCACTTAAATGCCCTGATCAAGAAAATTGAGGCGGGAGAGCACTCCAAAATTATCAACCTCACTGCTGAAAGGGGGTTTGCCGATACAAACGGCTTCTATGTCGCCCTTCAAAACCTGTATGGTGCCGTGCCGATGACCGAGCAGCAATGTAAGGAATCCTATCCTGGTAGTGCTGGCCAAATGAAATTTGCATTGTCGTATCTCAGCTCTGGGGCCTTTCTGGCGGACCGTGACATTGTTCACGGGGCCATCGACCTGATCAAGGGGGCTCTGAGCTGGGACAACGTCGAAACTCTGGTCCACTTTGGGCTCGTCCCCGGCCAGTATTTGATCGCCTGCAACGAAGAATATGCTCGGGACAGTGATTCCAATTTCCAGTCCGAGAGCTCAGACGATGAAAGCGTTGACACTAGAACAAACTTCAGGATCGATGATACTTACCGGGCGCCAAGACCCGACAACCCCTTCCTGTCGGCGAAGACACTCAACAATGAAATGGTCAAGATATGGGCGCCCAGGCTCTTGAGATGGGCCCTTAGATTCATGACTGTTGATAGTGCCGCAGCGCGATTTGAATTTGACGCTGGAGCTCGACCGACAGTGACGCCGGATAGACTGGGATGGACCCAGGACGAGGATCACACGACAGCCGAGATGGAAGGGAGAATTAAAAGCAGCATGGACAAGAACAGAGCCATGTCGGCGCTCCTTATCACGCTCCCATATAGATATCTCAAATATACATTCAGACTTATGCGCGAATGGGGGCTTTTGAGCGCGAAGCTTGCCCGGGAAGTGGTGGCAGAACGAGAACTGCGGTGTAAGAGCATGAAGCAGAAACTTGAATTGAACAGCAGGGACGAGAAGGGCCTGTCTCGACGCTCGCGTGGTCCGCTCGGATGGGAAGAGTTCGTCGTCGAAGAAAACGAGAACATAACCGTCAGCAGGATCTGGAAAGGAATTGGGACTGCGGCGTCAGCGGTCAAAGGGCCTCGTTCGGCGGAGCCGGGCCGCCCGAACGGCAAAATGTGACTCCCCTTTCCCTAGGCTAAGTCATGCTTCCTATTTTGAGTCGTCAATCTCTCGGAGATGTTTGCAGAGACAAGGAAAAGTCATTGTGATATTTTTGCTTCTTCTCCTCCTTTTTCCTGATCTTCTTTTGTTTCCTCTACTTCTGCTTCTCCTTCTTCTTCTCCTTCTTCTTCTTCTTCTTCTTCTTCTTCTTCTTCTTCTTCTTCTTTTTTTTTCTTCTTCTTCTTCTTCTTCTTCTTCTTCTTCTTCTTCTCTTTTTGAATGGAGAATTGAATTCCAGACATAATATGTATTAATAACAGCCAGCCCAATGCAATTTCAGTTCTCAGGCAAGACTGCCAGCCATTCCCTCCCGTATTGCGGACTATCAGGCGGTCTTTTATGCAAAGCTCTCGCCGCCAAACGCAACTGTTGTCTTGACGTAATAGAGGGCGGCAGCCGGCAAAATTCAGGGTTTCTCCGGGCCGCGTCTGCCGCATCTGGTTAGCGCGGAACCGGCCGGCGAACGCGATGAAGAACGTGCGGGTTGATACGTGCTGGCCAGAGACGCGGAGTGGAGAGAGAGATACGAGGAGGCAGCGATGAAGACAAGCCTGGCCGGCGGCTGGCTAGTTGCGGGGAGGGAGTGCGGTTCAAGGGGGCTCGAAGAGGATAGATGCTTCATAAGATGTCTATTTAAGGGGCCCTTATGGAGCCCCGGGTCCCCCTGAGGTTATTCTACTCGCCATAGCTACAGGAACTGGGTGGCGGTGGTGCTGCGAGTGCTACTCTGAAGTCTACTTTCCTGAAAATCACCGCAAACTTCGGCTGTGAAGGCCAAAGTGCTCTGGACTCTGTGGTTACGGAGGACAGGACGAAACCGAAAACCAAGGTGTCTCCCAGTGAGGTCGTTGAATCCCTTAAATCGCATTTGAGCCATCATGGTCCAGGAGCAGCAATCCTCCCTTCCAACCCTCCGCCCTTACAACGGCGGCTGCCACTGCGGCGCCGTCCGCTACCGTGCCCTCCTGGACCCCGCCAACCTGGGCGCAGCACGCTGCAACTGCACCATCTGCCACAAGAAGGGCGGGCTCATCCTCCAACTCTCGGACGAGACCCTGTCGCTGGTAAAGCCATCCTCCTACGACTCTGCGGAGCTGGGCGACTACACCTTCGGCAGCGGCTCGGCGCACCATTATTTCTGCAAGACGTGCGGTATCTCTGTCTTCTCGAGGGGTACGTATGTCATGGAAGGGAAGGAGGTGAAGTTTGTGTCGGTGAATGGGTTGACGGTGGACCAGGGGGTCGCGGGTGAGGAGGGCAAGCTGGACTTGAGTAAGGTGAAGATTGGGTATTGGAATGGGCTTACGGACGATTGGATGAGTGGGATGAAGGACGCGCCGTATCCAGGCGGGTGTGTTTGATGATGATGATGATGATGATGATGAGGAGGAGGAGGAGGAGGAGGAGGAGGAGGAGAGCGTTGGCGTTCCATAGAAAGGCCATATTTTTCAATTGGAAATCCCATATTTTGGGTGTTCTGCCGGCGATGAGACGATCTTAGGCTTTTGTTTTTGTAGTTCTTGTTGACTGACGGTGGCTTGGGCGGAGGAGGCTCTTTTTGCGGTTCGCGACTGGAGCTACCAAAATTTTTGCATTTTGGCGACGGCGCTTCTCTCACATCTGCCTACTGCCGGGGTTAGGATGAATACGCACCGAGTCTCTCTGCGAATTATGTCTCCGTTGACGATATTCTGGGTTTCCTGACCACAAAGACGACCATTCTCGTACACATTCCTCCTTTACCCCGCCCCCGCTCTCGTCCACCGCCCGTTCCCACGCCTCTCAATGAAAGATCTCGACGCTGTTGAACTTGTAAAGATTCTCTCAGCTCAAGAAAGGAGACCCTAACAAATGGCCAGCAAAGGAAAGCCGGAAATCCCCCTCTCCGCGGACCTCCCTCCGCTGATCATGGGCACCGCGACCTTCAATTCCCAATACAACGTCGACCCGTTCGCCCTTCCCACAACGGCTCTCGTCCATCGCGCTTTTTCCGCCGGTGTCCGCGCATTCGACACTTCACCCTACTACGGCCCGGCCGAAGAGCTTCTTGGATACGCTCTCTCTACACCCTTTGTCCGCGACAACTATCCCCGCCACAAATACCGTTTGATCACCAAGGTCGGCCGCCTTGCGTCCGCCTCATTCGACTATTCGCCGACCTGGATCAGACGGAGTCTGGCACGGAGTTTGTCGCGTCTGAACACCCAATATCTTGACCTGGTATATTGTCACGACGTTGAGTTCGTTTCGGCGGAAGAAGTCCTCGTCGCCGTGAAAGAGCTGCGCCGGATTCGCGACGAAGAGGGCACCATACGATATGTGGGGATATCGGGCTATCCGGTGGGCGTCCTATGTGACCTTGCGGAGAGGATACTCAGAGAAACGGGCGAGCCGCTGGACGCGGTGATGTCCTACGCGAATTTCACCGTGCAGAATACAAGATTGGTCTCGGAGGCGCTCCCTCGCCTTCTTGCGGCCGGTGTGGATGTGGTGCCCAATGCGTCGCCGTTGGGCCTGGGGCTGCTGAGACGCCACGGTGTGCCCATTGGAAGCATGGGTGATTTCCACCCTGCGCCGGTTGGGCTGCGAGATGCGGTGAGGGAAGCGAGTCGGTGGGTGGAGGAGCAGGGCGAGAGGATTGAAATCATTTCCATACGTTACGCGCTCGAAGCTTGGTTAAGGGAAGGCTCGGCGGTGGGATCGCTGGGAGAACCATTGGCCTCTTCGTCGTCGTCGTCGTCATCGTCGAATGGCGCTTCTAGTCAAACAGCTGCTCCTACAGGACGCAAACTGGGCATCAGCGTCATGGGCGTTAGCAAAATGGAGGAGCTTGATGAAACGCTTCGTGTCTGGCGGGAGATCATCGGTGGTCTTGAGGAGATAGTCGATATCGAGAACTCGGAGAAAGCCCTCACTGAACATGCTGATTCTGTGACCGTGAGACCCACCGCATCGCAGGATAGCTCACTTTCCATCCTCCCCGTGAGCGATAATGTTCCCAGCCACGAACGGTCTCATATTCGCCGTCAGGAGATCCTCGCTCTCGTCACTGGGATACGGAAGGTCCTGGGACAGGAATGGGTGGATTTTACGTGGTTGAGTCCTGAAAAAGGATTCACCAACCAACCTCCTCCGCCAGGCTACGATAAAGATATTAAATATTAAATATTGTCATTGGGACGCGATACGATTCTGATACGAGTTGAACAAATGAAGATGAAATCTAAACGAGTTCTTTAATCCTTGGCCACACAATTTCTTTTATCGAAATAGCACTCAGGATACTTTGTAAATAGTAATAGATACCACTTGTTAGCGCCATGGAAATAATGACCATGGCCATTGAAGAAAAAGAAGAAAAAGAAAGTCTCAGGGTGTAGTTCTCCTTGCCCATTGAATGATTCATTCCGCTCCTCTTCACGGACCTGCATATAGCGTATCCTATGATGAGAAGGAAAAGAAGTGGCCCAATCCGACAGCAGACCTGGCGAGTTGGAGGAAGAAAGGAAGCCATTTCCGCAGGCGGACCCAGTAGCCTATTGGCTAGATTGAGCGACGAAAACTGAGATAAGAATAATCCATGATCGAGAATGTGCTGGTATTTGGTCAACTTCTCAATAAAGCATTAGAGAAAACAACGAACATGGGAACCGTATGCTTGTGACGCACCTGAACAGTGATATCTTTCTGGCCGGGTAGTCACATCTATTGTATAACCTAATAGTTAGCTAAAGGAGGGTGGATTGCACCCTTCTTTCTGATCCGCGTTTGGTGAAAAGGTCAATTCCGTGCAACGGAATGGACCTCTTCAGAAAAGAAAAGAAAAAGAATAGGATAATAAGAATGGGAATTTGAGAGTTGGAGGGAAAGCTTCAGAAACTGTACTCCTGTAGACGGTATTCATTACATATAAGAAATCACAAATATCGATATGCAAAAGTTTAATGTACCACCCTCTTGATGAAGGCCATAGCACAATCGCCATCACGTATCCCTGGAGAACAAATATTTTGTTGGGTATCACATGCATCATAGTCACCGAGGAACAAGGATATTGTCACCGGTGCAAGCATCCACGCAAGCACGCCAGACGAGAATTTTTGAGAATAACAGAAAAGAATATCTCATTTGCCTCAAGAAATAATAGAGGTAAGTGTGCAAGGCAAGGGGTATCTGCCTCGAATCCACGTTAAATTCATGACTTGTGTCGAATATCTGTTTAACTTGCTTGATGCTGCTCAAGGGTTTTCTCTCGAGCGAGAAGGTCACGGACCATCTCGGCTTCGTTAGAGTAGCCTCCAAGCTTTATTGCCTGTTCATGGGTAATGAATTGCGGGATCCCTTTTAAATCAGGCCGAAGTAACCTCAGACGCGAAGCACGGTCCATGAACTTTTGTCTTTTTTTACCGACTTTGGCAACAGGAGCCGCGTGTCCGGATAACTCCTGGCTCCCTATCTCTGGGGGTGGGGGCGGCGGTGGTGGTGAAATAGGGGGAGGTGGCGGTGTTGAGTTACCTGGAAGCAGTGGTAGAGGGACGGTATTGTGGTATTGAACGAATCTCGGGTGGTTTGCATAAAGTTCAAACAAGTGTTCGCGCTGTGTGTGGTATGACTCGTAGTTCCCACCAATGATTGATGCTAGCAGGCTGATATTTTGGGGAGGCAGAAAAGAGGCCGATCTGATATTTTGGCTTAGTGTGTGAAAAGCCTCAGCAAATGCTTTGAAAACCCGCCTGATTTCTTTTGTCGAAACAGAAATGTCGTTATCAGGGTTATTGGGGTCGATTATTGAAAGCCTATCTCGACTATTTGCTTGATAGATGTTTCGAGTGTGCTTGGGAAAACATAGGTTAGAAATTATAATGCGGGTGGGTGTAAGGCGAATACCTTGTGGAAATAGCCGGGTGGGTTGAGCTCGATTCCCACTGTAGAGAAGTCAAATTTGTTTCCATAAAAATCAAAGAAGTCCATAAGAACTCCTCCAAGGTTTGGTTCGGACATGCCGTGAGGCAAATGCTGAAGCAGGCTTGTCACTAAGCAAATAATGGAGAAGCCGCCTAAACCCCCAGTGGGAACCTCATTCAGGCCTCTGAGGAGCAAAAATTGTTTGATGACAGAGACAATAAGCGGCATGGCAGGGAAATGTTCTTTCCACTGTTGAAAGGTCCTATTTGCTGCCAACCCACTGTTGTTGTCGAAAGACAAGTCAACTTTCAGCCCTGTAAGGCGGTCTACAAATTTGATAATGGGGACTCTTGCATGAGCAATTGTCTCAATAGAGCCGGGAACAGCAATTTCAGTATCTCTGATGTATGCCGTAAGAGAATATATATCCTTTATCTTCTGGCACAAAAATTTCCTACCTTGGCGAATGAATGATCTCGAAAGTAAAACGAGGTCAACGTCCGCAACTGGAAGGTAAAGACCGGATGCATATGAACCAAAGGCATGTAGTTGCGATCCAGGGAATCTGTTTTGCATAAGTCTTTCGAAGCGTGTAATAAGATCAGTCCTGATTACGTCTTCGAAAGGTCTTGGCTTGACCCAGTGATAGAAATCAACGATCTCGTTTTGAAGTCTACATAAGTGTCAATTATATCAAGTGACGCCTGATATAACGGGGAAGAAAAGAAAGAGGGACTCACGCGGCTCCCAAGTGGAAGGTCGCTTGTCGTGATCGATCAAACCACGGAGTTGAGTCTTGGCCAGCAATGGTGCGATACGCTTGTATGATTGAACCATCCAGATTAAAACGCGTGTCAGGTTTCTCATATCGCTGACTCCTTGGTGCAGGCCCAACAATCTCATCATTTCGAGTACGCTTGCGATTTCCAAGGGCAGGATCTCCATTACGATCACCGCGCGGTCCGCGCGGGGCATTCTCTGGCGGCTGGTCCACTGTGAGGTCATCTGCACCTAGGGATATAAAATCCTCATTGGATTCAATGGCATTGTTCTCCTCCGGCTTTACTTGAGCAGCGATCCTCGCCTTGCGGATCAATTTCACAAAGTCTTTTTTCTTTCCCTGACTTTCATCGGGAGGTGGTAGCACAGTGTAAGGGTCAGGATTGGACCACCTGGGTGTAGTCGACGGTACTGTATTTTCCATGGCTTGCTTTTTCCTAGGTGGCTCACTGTCCTCCGCAGAGGAAACGTCCATAACCTCCTCGTCGCTATCAGTCAGGTCCTCGAGATTCATGAACTTGGGCTGCTGCTTCTCATTAATGTCGTTTGCGCCCAAAAACTCAGGAGTGGTTTCTCGCTGGGCTGTCAGCAGTGGGCGTGCGGACGTTCGAGGCGGATGAGAGCGAAAAGTGAACTCGTGTTGCGGCCGGGACCTTGCATTGTCCCGGTTGCCGCGAAACTCGTATGCTGTGGGCATTTTGTCGCGTTGCTCTGAAAGACTGTGTTGCTACCTCGCCCACAGGACAATCATCTAGGCAGAGACACGAGGAGACTGCCGAGTTGATGGCGTTGACCGACACGTTCGACTTCTTGGTGGGATTCCGAAAAGGGCAACGAAGTCGAAACCCTACACGAAAAGGCGGCGGTCGGTGGCAGTAACTAGTTAGCTGACTAACCAGCCAGTCCAGACTAACTAGGAAACTATGCCGAGGCTTCTGCCCTTCGCGGGGAAGCAATGCCGAGAATTCAGACCGCCTTGGAACGCTCACAAAGTCACCGTCCTGCACCACCGCTGCCGCCAGAGCATCTGCCATCGGCCACCTCTGTCCGGTTCGACGCCCTGCTTCTGTATGACCCCAGATTCAGATCATCGGGCAATTCATTCCAAATACTTGGTAAACCTAGCTTTACTGCCATTGCTGCGAAAGGCGCTTGGAGTCGTTAGGAATCTGCGGGCAAACCGTCCTTCCAATCCGCAGGCTAGCTGACCTTCAGAGATATCTTAAGGTGCATAGCTCCCTGCGTTTCTGACGCAAAGGCCTCTTGAGGCGGTTTATTTTCCCTTCGCGTCTCGCGGGGCTCGTTCTACGTTCGTCAGCTGATGACTGTCCACCTAGTTCTCTAAAAGTAGTCACCACCGATATGGGATGGCTTTCTCTAAAAATGACCCTGATTTGAAGCGTAGTCCATCGCCGGGCTCAATATGATTTTTGTTCATAGAAAAGCTTATGGCTGATGGTCCATCCGTTGGGGCAAGTCGAAGATTCTCATAACCTTCTGAGCTATCAACTTCCATCTACTACTGTTTCCCTGACCATTAACGGCTCGCCGTTGAGTTTTCTCTTACATCGGCAGGTTTTGAGAGGAGAGCGCATGCAGTGCAATCCGAGATTTCCCTGGTTATCTTCCTGTGCCATGGAACGAAGGATTTCCTGTCTGTGCCTTCGTATCGCACAGACTTTCTGAGGTCAGCTCTAATTACTCGAAATTGTCAGTTTGCCACTGCGAACCATGTCGAAGGACCAGTGGGGATGCTACGCATGTCACATACTGTCCTACAACTGTGTCCCTAGATTTAAGGCGGTATGATCGAGTTACTCAAATCGGATATGATCAGTCGTTGGTTCTCTGGGACGTGTGGTGTCCATGCATTTATCCAGCTCAAAGAACAGGGCAAATTCTTCCTTTCCGTGGGATTACTGGCCGTCGATGGTCATATGGGAGAGAAAGGACATTTTCACACTTGGGATGTAAGCAATCTATGCTTGCACACTACCGTGAATGGCGGCTTGGCGTCCTTCATGTAAGACGAACAAGAGGCTTCCAACAAATGTTTTACAGGAAAGGTGCATCCCCCAGAGCTGCAAAAGCGTTCGTCTATTGAACCCCGACATCCAATCCCATGCACGTTGCCTTTGTGGTGGCATTCGGTATTACATCGCACGCCCAAATAAGGCCTCCCGCGAGCCATCATCTCCCTGACCTTATCTACCTCTCCCGTATCTTTCGTCTACATCGCCGATTCTAGGCGAAAGTTGAGAAGATAGTAAGTGGTGGCTACAGGAGCGAGATACTAAGTATCTTACCGGATTATGTGCATGTACACACTGTCGCCTTGCAGCGGGTTTCCCATTCTAAGTTAGGCATTTATTCCGCGGGCGAATATCTATAGAACCGACAATACGATGATGGATTACGATATACCTACGATACAAAGATATGTAAGTTCCCGTGGAGTCTCCCGCGCATTTTGTGGGTTCTGCGGTGCGACCCTCTGCTGCTATTGTGATGCAAGGCCGGGTGTGGTCGGTGTCAGCGTTGGACAGCTCGATAATTCAAGTGGCGTCAGACCGGAAGGTTGGTTAGACTCGGCTCCCGCTAGAGTAAGTTTTGCTGAAGAAGAGCTCGACTGTGAACTAGTGTGATTGCTTGAAATGGGTGTGAGACCAGTCGAGGAGAGTGGTACGGTAAAGTGAGCCCTGCAATCGGACACTCTATCGTAGTAATGCAGCAGCATTACACCGCTTCGAAACCACCATCTTCGGTAACGATATGGCTGGGTCATGACAACGCAATGACGCCTCCCGCTTGCGCCAAAACCGGGATTTAATCGGGCCTGGATTATTCCAGGCCCTGATTACGAAATCACGGCGTATCCTAAGTCAATGATCGAAACCTTGCCTGAGAGAACCCTGGAGTATCTCGTGATGCTATTCATTGGTGGAACTGCATTCAGTGCGCGTTTTTAGCGTGAAACCCAGGACTTGGAGAACGTGAAGCGGTTGGGAAGGTTTCGCCCCCCTCCCATGGATGGAAACGGGGGAATGGAAAGGCCTGAGCAGGGTTGGAAGAATAAAATATACCTCAGGCTGCTGTATATAAGGGGAGGGTGATACCCACCTCTCGAATTCCCATTTTCCTCCCATCAACACCTCTTCAAAATACGATCTTCACGGACTATCAGTCACGCTTGATAAAAACAATTAATTCGTTTTCTAACGCGGATATATCTTACCCCACTACAGCAAACATGAGTATGCTCCACCCCACCTGGACTTTGGCAACTATACAAAAAGATCTCCTCTGCGTTGTCTGATTTCTTGCATATGTTCTTGTCCACGTCCACGTCATGTGGACCACCCAGTCTACAACAATTCTGAGCTGACCCGAAAAACCTTTTTTTTCTGATTAGGTGGATGTGGATGCACCTGTGGCTCCGCTTGTTCTTGTCCTTCCGGCGCCTGCAACTGCGTAAGTTACGCCGCTTTCCAGAAATAATTGCAACTTTCTTTCGCATCCCATTTTCCATCCCTCCTGGACTAATCGAGGTAAAGAAATAAATCATGCCGCCGGAGGCGCGATCACATATTATCCATCCCTCCAACCGGTGTAGATTATTATTCGACACGGATCCTCAAGTCGAATATCCGCGGTCTTCGTGTTTCTCTCTGGCGGCCGAACACCGAGTGCACAAGGAACCGACCGATGTCGAAGCCAAATGCGTCATGACGGAGAGTGAAAGGAAGGGTGCGGCCCAACTCGGGAGGTTGATTGATGGGTATTAGGATAGTCTCTGGACTGAGTTTATGATCGTGTATCTGCCTACATGTTTTTCTTTTTATCGCTACGAAATGATAAAGATCGTTTGCTCCGTCCATATGTCTTCGCCATCAGTAACTCCAAAAAAAAAAAAAAAAAAAAAAAAAAAAAAAAGAAGGGTCGCTTTTTGCTCCGTACTCCAATATTAAATTTCTCAACTGGACTCCGACGCCTGAACCAGTGAAGCCCAACTCTGTCATGCAGATCTGCGGCGGACGGGATCCGGACTCTGGGAAGAGGGAGGGATATTCCGGTTCCGACGGGCCCATCCATCTTCGCTCTAGAGAGTACGACTGGGCCGGCCTCCGTATCGTTCGAGATGAGTTCCTTGCATGAGAAATCCTGCCTGCCCTCTTGCCTGCCTGTCTGTCTGCCTGCCTGCCTCCCTGCCTCCCTGCCTCCCTGCCTGCTTGACAGCGGCGGGCTGCCTGCGCTCGACAGGGACCCCGAGACGAGACGGCATCCCGCCCGCCCTCCGAGCTGGACATCGGACGAAACGGAGAATTTGGGTGGGGTCAACGCTGGCTCACGTGACAGCCCCGCAATCGCCTCGGGATTGGGCTTGGCGGCGACTTGGCACCTGTGCTAGCGCGGAGAGGGATGGCCAACGACAAAGAACTTCCGCCATCCATCCCTCCGTCTCCACACGGGCGCCCAAGATCTCCAGTTGCTTGTCAGGCAGGGTACGGACGGAGCAGAGAGGAAAAAGAAAAAAGCCACACAGGCTAAAAACCCGCAAAGGTCTCAAAACTGTGTCTGCATCAGCTTCGCCGCGCGCCCACCCCCTCCCCACCAAACACCGTGGCATATGACCTCATCCCGGTGTCGAGGAGAGCGCTTTGTACTGCGTACCTGGGATGTAGTTTTCAATCCCTCCCTCACCGGATGTGACCTGCCGGCTCTCAGGGAAGCGAACGCCCCCCGTCTGTTTGTTGCTTACTGTTCTGGAACTCCGTAAAATATTTTTGCGTGTGTGACTCGAGGAAACAAATTGCTTTTTTGCTCCTCCAGAGAGGCCGCGATCCCTCCTTGCCCGGTGCAAGCTTCCACGTCACCAGGCTCAACACATAATCTTGCACCAGAATTTCTTTTGAATGGGTCCGATTTCTCGAGCAGCTGCCGACATGATTCGGGTGGTGGGCTGGAAACCGCGTTGACTCCCCTGGCTTGTTGGGAGCTCAGGTCACTTTCGAATATCCTGGTCTTCCCCCCGGGGCGTGACATGTTTGTAGATCGGCTGCCTCTCAAGATGTCTTGCCGCATCATCCTTCAACACCGGCCTCCGGTATCCTCGGAGGAGTTGTTGCTGGCCACATAGACGAAGGCCTTTGGAAAGAAAGGGTTAAGCTTCCGATGCTTTCCAACCAAACGGGATGTTCATCCCCCTTTTTTTTTTTTTTTTTTTTTTTCTTTTTTGGGGCCTTGCTTGAACGGTATTTTTTTTATTTATTTTTTTTGACAGAGGAAGAGACAACAAAATATCCCCATACCCCACAAGACATTCGAGTTCTAGAGCTCCCGATGCGCAATGTTACTCGATTGGATCGTATGGCCTGTCTGCCGCTGCAGCCTTTCATGCAAGGCTGATATTGGAGAGCTTCTTCTCCACACTTCGCTATCCCACGCCCACAAGCCTATGGCTCGTCGTTTCGGAACACATGGGCGGCATGGTTAGTTCCATAGCTTGAGCCAATCCGCTCTGACTGCCTCATCATCGAATAAAGATACCCGCCAGAACTGTACACTCTCGGCTTACACTTGTGATCCTTCCGACGTCATCTGCTGGCAATGAGAACCGACCAGCTCGGAGAGCTGCTTGTCCTCGAAAAGACATAAAAGGCGCCTTCATCCCCCGTCAAAGTCAACTTCCTCTTCCTTCTTCATTCCCAAGCAACCGACTTACAAAGCAAATACTTCTCTAAACAATTCTAACTCTTTTTAAACGTTTTTACGTTCAGATTACCCAGTCAAAATGAATCCCTGCTCCTGCAACTGCTGCTCCGGCAACTGCAACAACTGCTCTTGCGGCTCCTGCGGCGTACGTTGACAACCTTTCCTTCTCCATCCCCTTCAGAATCACCTACTTACCCATTGATACCACAGCACTAAATAACTCGCTGCCTTCGAGCTAATGCTCTCCTCCATCTCGACAATCGCAATGTTTTGCTTCATTCACTCTGTGCAAACTCGAATCGAACTTTCCTCTCATCCCCTGATAGCCAAAAGTCCAGGGGGTGTTTGCAGCTGAAGAACCTTTCGATCGTTTCGAATTCGACTGACCGTACCGACCGGGGTGCAATAGAGATGGCTTATGACAATTGACGGGTGTCTTTGGCTCTGATGCGATCTTATTTTTGGCTTTTCTGAGTTTTTCTCAGTCTTGCGGATGTTTTCTGACATGGTGGTCAGGTGGTGGATATTCTCTCATTTGTTGATACCTATACCAATATAATTTGCATGGCCAGCAAACTTCTCTTCCTCTTCTTCCATAAGTAAAGCTTTCAACACACAGTGACACCTGTTGAGCGATACACATAAGACAGAACGATTGGTGACAAGTATCAGTTGTGAACCTTCAAAATTGTTTCAATATTTCCTTGAAACAAGTCAACACAGCTGAATCATCCTACTAAGGAGAGCTGCTTCACTTCATCGGCTTGCATAGGAAGAGGTAGATTTCAATGGAAATCCATAGAGAAGTCACTAAAGCAAGCTCACTCCTAGATTGAACTCAACCATCTCGTTAAACGCACATAGTAGAAAAATATGACACTGGTCTTGTCCCTCAGCCTCCTTCCTGTCTCTGGTGCTCCTCGTTTGTGGCTGCACTCTTTGATAGCTAACGTGTCTTGGAGACTGGATTTCCACTGAATGGCATGAAGGCGTGGATATTCTCACTAAGCTCATCCAAGCATGTGGCGCCCACGAGCATGAACTGTAAATTCACATCGATCGAAAATTTCCCCGCGTCGAGATTAAAAGACCTTATCTGATTCGGCGCTGGCAAATGCATGGCATGACGCGCTATGTTGCTTAAGTCCACAGTTCGTCTGCTAGCCCGCCTTGACGCAGAACTCACAAGCAATTAATCGCGCACTACTCTGACGAGGCGTCACCGGTCCCTTGATGACAGCATCCTGAAATCACACAGCCTTTTCCCCGGACATGGTCTCACTCGTCCCTGTTCTCCACACTTTCTGGTCATGCCTGTCACTTGTAGAGCCGGCGATCCAACGCATGCGAGTGGCTCAGCCTCCCTCATGATGATTTCAGATAGATTAATTCAACGTTCATGCAAATCTTAGAATATTCCCAGATCCATCCCAAAACACGCGGGATATGCATGTGAATATTGCTTTTGCAAACCCCATTATTCCCCGTCTTTGCATCTTACCCCGGACTCTGCGCTGATTGGCCAGGTTGAAGCAGGATATTGCTGGATACCCAGCAGGGATACTAATATTATTTGATGCTAACTGAATGCCGGAGAGCGGCTTCTTTGATTGGGGAACAGGGGAAGATACTGGGTCGGAGAATTGTCAACATGGTTGCTTTTCTTGCACTCCGGGTGCAATGAGTTGACGCTCGACGATTGGGCGGAGCAGCTCCATGCTGTTGCAATTTTCCGAGGAAAGGAAGAGAAGCTGGTTTCCCGATGCGAGCATTAAAAGGAATGGGAGAAAATAAAAGATTGCCCATCCCAAATATCATGTCTTGATGGAATGCTGCGATTGTCATATTGGTGACTGATCCTTTCAATTCACTTCCATGTTACTCGCTGACTTGTATCCATCTTGCGATAATAACAACTAGCATGCTGAACAACACAGTTGAAATTGTGGGAATCTCATCCAAAAAAGAAAAAAGAAAAAAAAAAAAAAAAAAAAAATTAAACTGACAATGAAACGGTCCAAGCGAAGCTTGGAGAGGATGTTGACGGGAGTCAGCCTTGAGCTCGGTCAGCAAACATCCCAGCTGGCGGAGTTCCCGGATTTGCCCATAACGACGGCGGAATCACAATTCATCCTTTCCACCACTCATATTCTTCTCATCACTGCTGATGAGCTCACAGACCGCCGGCGTGGTCACATACATTGAATAGACGCACTTCTCATCCTCGGTAACTTTGACGATTTCATCATTCTCTCCACAGTCCAGCACAACTTTGGTTGATCTTGCCGGGCCGTTCCAGCATGTCTGACCATTCATAAATTGCAGCGCAACTTTCTCCCGCGGAACAATCTGCCCCGAAGCAGTAGCCTCGTCAATGGTCACAGAGGTAATTTTATTAAAGTTACCCATGTTCGTATCGCCTCGACCCTTTTTGGATTTCTGAGTTGTCCTATCCATCCAACAGAGCTCGTAATTGTATTCGCCAGAGTCCTTTGAAATGCAGCTGCCTTTCAGTGCACGGAATACGGAATCCTTGCCAAAATCCTTTGCGAGGTCCGTCTTGTGATCTCTCACAGAGTTTCTCAATTTGTCAAGCGAAGACTCTGCAGCGCTAAGACGGTCACGAGCATCCCGCACGGCTTGGGATTCACTTACTTCGCTATCCGTTTCAGCAAGAATACCGTTCAAGACAAGGAACGACCTTAGGTCTGCCAGTTTATCCTCTATGTAACTGGCGACGGAAGGTGGCAAATATGCCGCAAGCTTGTAGACTAATTGATCCATGAGCATACGTCGAAGAAAACCAATGCGGAGATAATCTTACCGAGAGGGATCTCAATTTCGTCCTGCTCATTCTCCCACTGTTCCCAGTTGATGCCAGAATCAGGACCATCGGGCTTGGTGACTTCGTCAAGGTCCTGGTAAGGGCCTGTATTATCCTCATAGCCCGTGGCAACGTAATCCTCCCAGCTTCTCACGGCGCGCTTAACGCCCTCATCGTTAAAGTTGGGGTTGTATTCCTCTTTGAATTTCGACAGAATTCCCTCCAACGCATCGAGTCGATCATGAAGTCTGTCTTTCTGGAGGCGGACGTCTATCAAGGACGTCCGTAGCTCTTCAACTCGGTTCTTTGCAAGTCCTGCAAGAACATTGACCTTGCCCTGTTTCTTTCCCTTGGCGGCCTTCCCCCTATCCCTTGCTCGCACCTGATCAAGTTCTTTCTGGAGGTCCTTGACTTTGATTTCTGAGGCCTGGATTTCTACCTCCAAATCCTTGATCCGACCTTCCACCTCTTTTTTTAACCTGGATGCCTTCTGAACAAGCTCTTTCCGTTTCTTCATCGCGGCATTGAGCGATTTCTGCCTTGCCTCCTCTTGCTTCCTCCATTCCTTTCCAATCTCCTTACATTTGTTTTCACATTTTAGACCTCCAGGTTGCTCCCATTCATCACTTCCATCACAGCATATGTCATAGTCGCATACAGCATCATTCACACGTTGAAATGGAAGATATGCCGGTTTGTGTCCCTTGTTCTTGCAATAGAATCCTGGTAGGGCTGACGTTCGATTGCTCGTCTCATCACCAGGATCGGATACGAATGAAGGGGAGAGGGAAGATATAAAGGAACAGGCGGAGGTTCCGGGTTCGTCGCTACCGTCTGGGCAATCGCAATAGTTGTCGTTCACAGCGGAGAATGAAAGCTTGATGGATGGATTTGATATACATGTGAAGGTCGACGCATCCTTGTAATATTTGGCAACTGCTCCAGTTTGTTATATAGTCAGTGGCCCAAGTATGCAACCATTGATGAAAGGGCAGATGGCTATTGTTGATGCGGACATACACTCAGGGCCAACACCGCGTGGCCGAGGGTTGGCAGTTGAAGCTGTCGAGCTTGTATATAGCGTGGCTAGGCTGAGAAGAAGGAAAGCTTTACTGGTGGGGGTCATGGTGGCAGCATTGAACTCATTACCGTTGCGAATGTCGAGTTTAAGTACGATTCGTCCCGTCTGGTGCGGCAATGAGGCCAGATACCTTGTTGTCTGAGCTCGACGTCCACTATCCTCATAGGGCATAGCGTCATTGCAAAGCTCGGGGGTGGCAACCTCAGGGTCCTCAAAACTGATCGGCTGCACCACCACCATCACCATCGCCTCTCCAGCAATCGCCTTTTCCCCCGAAGATCCGACGCAGGCGTTCAAAATGGGTAATGATGGCGGAAGGTGTGTTGCATGTCGGATTTCTGTTGGCTGAGAATATTACTGACAGGGAATGACAGTATTCCAACTCGTCGGGAGCTTGTCAAAGAAGCCGCCAAAGCCCCCAGCGCATCGCAACTAAAAGAAGCCCAGCGTGAACAACTTGAGCATTTCTGGACAACTTGTCCGCTGTCGCATAAAGAACTTCTTCCACCAATAGTATCAGATTCAGTCGGAAATTTATATAACAAGGACACTATTCTCCGTTTTCTGCTTCCCGGAGATGAGGTTGAAGGAATAAGCTCCAAGGCGGACTGCGAGGAGATCTTGTGTGGGAGGGTGAAGGGTCTCCGTGATATCGTTGAGGTTAAGTTTGAGGTTGACGATGTTGCTGTAGACGCCGAAGGAAAAAAGAAGAAGCGGTTTATCTGCCCCGTTACTAATAAAGAGCTTGGCCCCAGCGTAAGGTCTGTGTATCTTGTGCCGTGTGGCCATGCCTTCTCCGAAGAAGCTATCCGTGAAATGAAATCGGACAAATGCTTACAGGTTTGTCCCACTCTCCCCTCAGCCTAGGTATTCGCCACTTCTAACTACTTTTAAGTGCACCGAATGCTACCAGGAGGAAAACGTCATTCCCATACTTCCTACAAAAGAGGCCGAAAAGGAACGTCTCAAATCGCGTATGCAAAAGTTGGCTGGTGAAGGCCTCACCCATTCACTGAAAAAGGCGCCGGGTTCCAAAAAGCGGAAGAAAAATGGATCTGATCCCACTGTCGCCAAAGGCGAGGCCGTTATTGATGGTACAAAAACAAAGGATTCGTCCACTCCTGGTAGCGGACCTATTAGCAGAACCTCCACCCCCATCCCATCGACAGTCAGTGGAATCAAAAATGCTGCTACCGCAATGTTGACAAACCGCGTTTTGGAAGAAGAGAATGAACGCAAAAAACGGAGAAAACAGATGGGAAATAGCGAGGCATTGCAGAGCCTTTTCACATCAAGCTCGAAGAATCAGCAATCGAAGGACGGCGACTTTATGACCAGAGGCTTTACTATTCCGTCTGGAGCTAGGAGATGATGTGGTTGATAGCAGCCGCCGCGATATCAACCTGGTGACTTGAAATTTATTAACCCCTGTCTAGGCTAGAGGTGCACTATTCTTATGTGATTGCTTTGTGCATCCTTTGCACTACCAATGGCAACGCCCTTGACGTATTCATAACCAGTTTTGGACGTATGTGCGTCTATGGTTAGTTATGTGAAGAGGACCCTAATGGCCATATTTTCAATTCATTCTTTGCTCTTTCCAGGGATCAGCATCCTTAAAATGTGAAGGCTAATGATCCTGGCTGCCCTGGTCTTTTTCCAGAGCTGAGATATACCCTATGGTATTGGTACATTTACTGTTTCAAGTACATGCTGTGCTGTTTTGAATTCATAGACTTTGCCAATGACAAAACCATGCAGGGGGGATGGCGGTTGTTTTTGCACCACAATAAGACCACATTGCAACATTTATATCCTTAACTGCCTGCTGTTAATTGCTGCTGGATCTTTTCTACTTGATGGAACTTTCCGTCACGTGCCCTATCTGAGAGCGTGACTGCACCGGAGTTCGCGTTTCTACATTGGGTAATGCGAGCAAAGCTCCCCAAATATCGACATCCTACCTCACCTTAGGAATTCACGCGAATGACGGCGTACTGCCCTGGTGAGACCACACAAAGAATCTCCTGCGTCCTTAAGCACTATCCTGGGGATATATTGCTATGAGCTCCTATCTCCCTAAAGCTGTCAGGATCGCCCAAAAATACAACCTATTTCCTCACTTTCCCCAAGACTTTTGAAGTGACTGGGAGGTTTGATGTCCTTGTCTCCTCCTTTCGCGGGACAGCTGCCGGGATTGAAAGCTGACTCTTTTCAGGTATCTGGACGTGGATTTCCCTTTTCTTCTCTTTTCTTCCCTTTTTTTTTTTTTTTTTTTTTTTTTTTTTAAGAAAGAATTTCGACACGGTTTGCGAGATGTGCACTTTAAATTACTGGCTTTACGAAAAATGCCGCTGCGTCAAGTTCAATGAGTACATCCCATGCACCCACAGTCAGCGCCAGCCCGGTCGTTGTGTTAGAGTGAAACGGCAGGAAACTTCCCAACCTACTCGTTGTCCGGACTGCAAAAAGGACCGGGCCCGTGGTCGTGTTCACCGGTCGCTTTTAAGGATTTTCCGCTGATGATCGCGATGTTCTATCGGCATGATGGTCTCTGCGGCTTTCTTCGTTCCATCAACATGGATTTATAGGTCACAGCGTGCAGTCGTGGGACTATGTGTCGTCCGCCACTATTCTATGGGATATATATACCGAAGGGAAATTCTCATTTATATGGCCAGTCTTTATGGAGAATCGTTAACGTCTGAGATCGAACGCGTCCCGCTCACTTGTTATACGGGGATCTAATGCATTTTTATTCCTTTTTATCATGGAGACATCGAGAGTCGCTAGTTACTTGTACCTTCGTTTCGGAAGTCCGTCTACTAAGGAATTAAAATAAAGGGGCTAGTTCGTGTGAATTCCTTCCTAGGCTTTAGTGGTGTATCTCCACAGGACCATCTCCAAGGGAATATGTACTGCCTGTGCCACACCAACATTGGTTTTCTTTGGATTCCCTGAACCTATTTGGAGCAGATGCAGCAACTTCACCCATCAGGCATCACCTGTTCGATAGTCCTAAGGATATATATACTCACTATTACCTATAGTTTTTTGTGACTAGGCTTAGTATTCGCTTACGATTACGGTATCTATTGGAACATAAAAGGGCTGCCGGGGCTTGGACTTCCACAATGCATCTACCTCCGTCCACACCATCTCGACAGCAAGCTAACAGATCAAGATTCTGTTGAAGCAACATCAGCCCTGATCAATATCACTCTGAAACCTCAACCTTTCCGGACATCAAGCGAATTCGAAACTCACCAGGAATTCAGCTGCGATGTGCACCACGATCGTTCTCAAACACGCATGCAACCACTCTCTTCGCGGAGGGGTCAAGATTTGCTCTCAAGGCGACAAGGCTGGAAACCCCTGCGCAAACATGGGTACAGAAACCAAATTTGTCAACGATTATTGCAGGGAATGCAGGCTGGCCGCCGAACCGGGGTATTGGTGGTGCTGGGATAAACAGTAGTCGAGACTTTTTATTTTTATTTTTATTTTTATTTTTATTTTTATTTTTATTTTTTTTTTTTTGAAATCTGGTTGACGCTGGCCTCTGGCATATGGACACTGTTTGGGAGTTATCGTCATGCTGCTTGCGACGACGTATTGTGTGGTTGATATTCTCGCAGAAGCCATGATGCGACGTTTGCTAGGTCAACTGTCCATTCATAAGGTATACAAGCTGCCATTATAATGCATCTGGAGATACCGCGCCTTATTTAACTAGGTACCAACCGTACTTGTAGGAACAAATGGGACTTTGAATATATTATTAATGCTTTCTTGACTTCAATCGACTTGAACATGTTTACAAAATTGTCTGGCTATATTTATACATACATAAACCGTATCCAAAGCTGAGCAGAAGCTCGAGTATAGGTTGTATTTTACATGGAAAACAAGAGGCTTCAACTACTTAAACAACTGAAACCATGACCCAAGGAGTCAATGGTGTACAATCATGTGCTAACCCGTCCAGTAACAGGCAGACCTCTCTTAGTAAGCTCTTCCTCGATGATCTTCCATCGACCAACTTCCTTCTCATGGTCAATTGGGGTCTGTCTCCTATCAAAGATCTTCACGTTTGGAAGAGCAGCAAATTTCCCCTCCGCAATGAGAATATCGGCCAATTTAGCTGGCTTCGGTTTAGATGCTGCGGTAAACAATGCCAGCAGGCGGGATACTTTAGTAATAGATAGAAGTTCCGGATCGGGAATACGATGTCCAGTGAGCTGGCTAGCGCGCTTGAGGAACTAGAAAATGAAAGGTTAGGTGGTTTCTTTCTGTGATAAGCTTATATATACGTACAGCAAACTGGAATTCTCGGTCTTCGAGTGGCAGGGACAAGAAATCCAAATTTTCGGGCGTGCGGATTTCCAAATCGGTATTGTTAAGCTCTGCTAGTTTGCTCGGCTCGTGGGACTCGGAAACCGAGCTAGGACCCTCAGATTCGTCAAGATTCTCGGTATTGTCGAACTCTTGTTCAAGGTCAAAATCGCGAAAGGACTCCAGTAACGCCGCTTTTGCAGTCTCGCTAGGGAAAACGAGAGCATCGATTCCAGGCTGGCTGGCTGCTTTGACTTCAACGCGATTGATAAGTGCGAGTAACCGGTCCTCATGCTCCCAAATTTCGCAAACGCGCTCGAACGGTTTGTTAAGCTCCTTCATGATGCATAGTTCCACGACAGTCTGATGGAGGGCTGTAAGAATCTCGTCGTGGGTGGTAAGTTGACCTTTGTGCATGAATCTGTGAGAATGTTAGGATCACTCTCATCTTCTCAAAGTACGCTGAACTGATTTGGAAAAGCAACAAAGTTATGCAGCAAAGATATGCAGCGTACGTACGCAACAAAAGAGTCGGCGGGTGTTGGAGATTGTTCCCACCACTGTCCGGACGATCCAACGTGTTCTAAGCCGTCCCACGTCGTTGCGGGAACGTACTCTCCAGCCTCGGTCGCGGACACTTCAGCAACGGATGCAGTTTCTGCTTCCGGGACATATTCTGGCTCTAGCTCTGGCTGCGGCGCTTTTGCTTCGCGCTGCTCGCGAGCTCTTTTCTCCAGAAAGCTCTCTCCACCATAAGGATCCTTCAGCCCTGGAGGATTCTCGGTTCCCCAAATCCTTCGTCGAACCTTTTCGCTAAACGGTACATTGTTGCTGTCGGAAGAATTATGACGACGAGTTTGATGGTGTATTATCGGCTGAGAGGTGCAGCGCGGGATGAATTGGCGTCTGCAGGTGGAGCAAACGTATCGAGCACTGCCGACCCGATAGGGCAGCGCTTCCAATGGGGTTATTAGACGTGCTCCTGAAGGCATTGTGGCGGCGTTGAAGTTCTGGAGTTGAAGTGAGATTCGAAAAGCGATTTTGTCTGAACATTTTCGAAGCTGTGGTCTGTTGCCAAGACTAAATCACGTGATCAAAGTGCGATTTGAATATTGACAGACATGACCTCCGTCAATGTACTCCATGAGTGTCTATGGAACAGTGTCTCTGCGCTTGTGTAATTTACAATTCAACATAAAACGACGAGATAAGTTTGATGACGCCTGATAGATATATATACACGCCATATATGCAATCTAGGGTATATAAAGTGACTATGGGACAGCACTGTGGACATCCTAAAGCAGGGGAAGTGTCCATCACGGTTCGTGTCAACTATGCAAACTGGAAATAGTGCTTTTCTACTCCGTAACGACGTAGAATATCCCTTTATTCCCTTACAAAGACTGACGCCATTCCCATGCCAGTACCAATACACATGCTCACAACACCGACTTGCTCACCCTGTCTTTCCAGTTCAGGAAGCAAAGTAGCCAACTGTCTGGCACCGGTAGCACCAAGAGGATGTCCGATAGCAATGGCACCACCCTTGGGGTTGACCTTATCCTCGTTAATACCCAATTTCCGAACGCAGTACAGAGCCTGACTAGCGAATGCCTCGTTAATCTCCCAAATGCCAACGTCAGACACCTCGAGGCCGGTGTGCTTGAGGACCTTTGGAATAGCAACGGCCGGGCCGATACCCATCTCATCTGGCGCACATCCGGCAACCTGAGTAGAGACCCATTTTCCAATGATGCTGGAGGTCAAGCCAAGCTCTGTGGCGGTTGAACGGCGCATGAGAAGGGCCGCAGCGGCACCGTCGCTGACCTGCGAGCTGTTTCCTGCAGTGGAAGATCCCGTCGGTGAGAAAGCGGGTTTCAAGGTAGCCAACTTCTCTAAGGATACCGTAGGTCGAATACCATCATCCTTCGTGACAGTAATCTCCTCAGCTGGACCATCCGGCTTATCGGTGGGTATAGTCTTCGTCGTAACGGCGACAATCTCCTTATCAAACAGGCCATTCTTCTGCGCAGCGGCAGCCTTCTGATGAGACTTGGCCGAAAACGCGTCTTGATCATGTCTATTAATTCCATACCTCGACGCAACGTTCTCCGACGTGATACCCATCGGCATGATACAATCCCTCGCATCCTGCAGCTCGGACTCCTTCAACTCAGGCCATAAGACCGTAGGAATCGCTCTCGACCCATAGTTCCGCGTCATAGACTCCATACCGCCGCCGATACCCACAGAGATCGCTCCCACAGAGATAGAATGGGCAATCGTCGAGATCGCAGCCAGGCCGGAACTGCACTGCCGGTTAATCGTGTGGAAAGGGACCGTGTGCGAGAAGCCAGCGTGAATCTGAGCCATACGGCCCGCCTTCGCGCCACCGAGCTCCTGCAGCACGCTGCCGATGCAGACATCTTCTATGAGGGCTGGATCGAGATTTGGGTTGGCGGCTAGTGTGGCACGGAGGACATGGGCGAGGAGCTCCTCGGGATAGGCGTCTTTGAACCCGCCCTTTTTGGCGCGGGTCACTGCGGTACGGAGGGATGAGAGGATGACGATGTCGGAGGGAGATTTTTGGAGGATCTGCTTGAGACCTCGCGGGACGGAGCCGGCCATGGCGACTGTAGTGGAAGAAGCGATGCTTCGGCGGGGGAGGATCGGGTTGGAAGCGAAGGGACTGCTCACACGGTTATGAGCAGAAGGCGTAGGGGGGGAAATAAATGGGGAGCGAAAAAAAGGGGAAAAAAAGGGGAGGGAGAGAAAGAAAGGTCAGGAAGGCTGAGCTTCAAACCCAGCAACAAATCGTAATACTATTTTGCATTGGCATTTGTAGGCGAGTTCTTCCGGGTTGTCTCTCGTTTTCGTCTGTTCGGCAAAATCCACGGCTAAAGACTCTACCGACGAGAGAACCGGGACAGCACAGGTTTGAGATTAACGTCGCTTTGACAGTCATTACAACCTGTGTTTTAAGAAAATTATTCCCAATTAGACATTAGCATTTGAGTGTACAGAGTATGGCGAGCAGGCTCCCATCGCCAGGTTCAGTAACAGCATGAACAAGACCGGAGAGTTGTGCTGGCCGGGTTGTTTTGTAAGTAACTATTAAACCGAAGGTGCTAGTTAAACTTCCGGCAAAATCCAAGCGCCGTCTCCGTGTATAATACCAAGAAAGCCTTTTTTTTTTTTCTAAATTTATTAAGTAAATCGTTGTCTTTTTTTGAAGAAAAAGAGAGGGAGAAAGGGAGAAGGAGAAAAGGAGAAAAAGAGAAGAAAAAAAGCGAGAGATCGGATCAAAAGATCATGATATAGGGCAACTTTCAGCAGTTCAAGAAAGGAATGGTCAAGGTCTCAGAAGATGAGAGTGTCTCCTTTCAGAAACAAAACGATTCACTCTTGCCAGGAAGTTCTGTGGTAGTTGGATAGATGCGTACTTGGACTCCCGGGCTTTCCTGCATTCTCTTCGTCAAAATGGTATCACTGGTAGCATCATGGATATTGATCTTGAATCCTCGTGATTCTCCGGAATGCTGAATGACAGATATGGAAATGGTACATCTGAGGCCCGTCATGAGCATGAGTATGGCTGCATGGACTGTAAAAAGGAAGGCAATTGTGAGCATTTTCTTGCTTTGGCATCTCGTCTAATTCAGCAGTCGTGAGAGGAACAGCTCCCAGTGCAACAAGGACAATGCATGAAAAGCTAGAGATGCTGAATTTGCGGAACATGGATGAACTTGCAGTAGACAATATATAATGCCAAATAAAAGTGAACAAGGGAAGCAACATAGCTAATGAATCTTACATTCTGAAGGTTGAGCAGCTATCATTCTGTGGGAAGGGGAAAAGTAAAGAATGGTTATACTCACCACTATGGGCGTACAATTATCCAGACCCTAAAGTGAGCGTTTTCTGTGCTTTACAGCTGTGTTCATTCTACAATAGAATGAACGGCACAAAGGATCTGGGAAGATTCAGGAACAACATTCTTCAGAAGCTCATAAAGTTAAAAATACAGTTGCATTGCCATCACCTGCGATCGCTCTCAGAGACATCTATCAGATCGCATAATGAAACTCAAGGAAGATATCAGAATCAATGTTGAAAAGCCCGCATAATTTGTAACCTCGGATATCCATTTGCAGTACCGACACCAGCTCCATTCGGGGTATTATCCGTAAAATGCATTAAAACCAGCCAGACCGTCTGTTTCGGGGGGCTATTGAGAGACACCAAATAAAGGGAATAATAAAGAAAAGAAAAGGAACAAAGAAAGCCAAAATGACGAAGCAATGAGAAAGGCTGCTTTCGCTTTTACAGTGTCATTTGGTGATAATGATATGACTGTAATGGCCAGGCACACGCTGTCGACATTTCTCACAGTCTGCTCTGAATCCCATGGCAATAGTTCGCTTTGGGAGAGGCCGAACCTGTGAGCGATTGCTCGAGTTGAACGCAGGCCTAGCCGGCGGCGCAGTCAAGTGATCATTATTATCAGCTGAGTTATTTTCTAGGGGCAAGGGCAAATGCTCAAGGTTTGTATCCTGTGACGCTTGCATTGGGTTCTGAGGTTGGTCGCGTAAAGATCCTGACGGTGGCACGTCGTTTTGCACGGGTGTGACCGAGATGAGCGGTGTGGACGGATTGTATGGACCGGAAAACGTTCCTGCTTGGTCTGGACGCGATACCAGGTTGTCATCGGGGTCTGCTGGATTCACGAGCGTCTCATCTTCACTGATAGGGCTCGGAAGCCTTCTGGGCCGCCACCAACCTGCCTCGTCCGTCGGAACTGGCTGAGACGTGTGAGGAACTTGGGGTTCTGCTGGGAATAGAGTAGCATCCCTCATCATAGAGTCCGTGTTCATATTCGATGTAAAATGGCTAAATATTGGAGTGGCCGTGCGTCCTCCACTGACGCTAAGAGACCGATTGAGGAGAAAAGAAGGGATTGGGGATTCAAGGTTGCATTCCGGTCTCGATGGGCCCGACCCAGCAGACCACAGTGGTTGCGTGGTCGCAGACCTCGGCTGTGAGTCCGCCATTTCAAAGTCCGAGTCCGATTCCGCGCATGGCGTCCTCATGGAACTGAAAGCTTGGGCGTGAAGGTCGAGATGCCGGTTCTGTGACAGGTCTCGATCACCATCTTGCATTGGGTCATCGTCAGACGACTCGGCGGGGGTAAGGGTTGAAGAAGGAGGGAATGGAGGGCCTGGACGGCTGTGGGAAACTATGCTCGTGTGTTCTAAAATGGGTGACGTATGGAGAGGTAGAGGCCGCGGTTTCTAGCAGATATGAATGGCTGTCAGCACGCACACTCTATCACTGGACGGAGGAGGAATGGAATAAACGGTGAAGGATGCCAGTTGGAAGGTTCCGGAAGCCCAGCCCACCTTCTTCTGCTGCATGGCACGCGCATGTGGCTCGTCAGTCTCGGCATGTTCGTCCTCCCTGTGCCTTTTGGCAGAGGGATTCAACATGGTAAGTCTGATACACGCTTCTCAGCTATCAACACGACATTGATCTTCAACGCGGAGAGATTATGTTCAGGCAACAGCTGCTATCACAAGTTTAAGGCCTCGAAGGCTTTGAATGAACGCAAGAGAGTAAATGAGTGACAGGGAAAGGAATGCGATAAAGTAGAGCTTGATACAAGCAAACAGAGCTCTCAGTCTGTTTCAGATTGCATGTTGGGTTCAGAATCCCACATTTGATTTGTGATGAGGTGTGAGAGAGACGGAGGATCAACAAAACTGGGAGCTCTGGATGATGAAAGAATGGTAAACCAGGCTGCCTGTTGTGAGTGCAAGGTACACAAAATGGCAAGGGAGGGGCCCTGGGCGTTTGGAGATTGTTACAGAGTGTTAGCACGCGGCATCCAGCTGCAGGAGTTTCATGCGGTTAAGATGGTTTCCCCAAAAGCTTAACTACCACCACGGCTTGCCTGCCATGCACAAGTTGGGTCCGGGATACCTTACAACAGCAATGGAGGGATTGCTCAATTAATAACAACAAGGGCTATTGGGTAAGGCATTAAGGAAAATGGGACTGTATGACTACATGCTTCTGGAAAGCACATGTTCGCTTCCGGCCTGCTCTAACAACACTGTGCTGATGTATCTTAACAGGGTCCAATGGGTAGAAAGAATTACAAGACACATGATGCAGAAACTTGATATTCTTATTGCGTGGCATCTCTGGTTGCACCAACGACCCCAGCGGCTTCAGTAATTCCAGGAAAATACGGACTTTTGGCCCGATTCTAAATCCTGCATTCGAGCTCTTCTCCTCGGCTGAGTCTACTAGCCAGTTCAAGAGCTGCGTGTCGGTGCAGATACGCTTCAGCCGGGCCATGCAGTCCCCAGTCACTAGTAGCTCACGTTTTTGCCCGGATTCGCAGCTCCGATTCCTGGTTGCAGTTGAGCCAGCAGGACTCCCTTAAAATGTTTGTCTGGAGGGTGTTGGCTAGACGGTTCGATGGTAGGAGAGGGCCACAGCAGGGGGGAGGAGGGGCACAGAGGAACTTGAATAAAACCTGGATGTCTGTACAACGTATAGATTGTAGTATCACTCACCTCTGAGCAGCGTTGTCGGTAGAGGAGAAGCCTGGGAGGGCTTTTGTGTGACGGAGAGGTGTGTGCTCGCATTTTGACAGCCGCAACGGCCTGGGCGGAGCAGATCACGTGCTGATAAGAAAGTATGATATACGGGGTAATCCTGTAACCCATAGTTACTAGCGCATGATGAAGTGACTTACCTAAGCCTGCGCGTTGCCAAATGCTCACTCTTTGTGCTGGCCGGAGCTGTCAGCTCTACCCCCCACATAAATAAAATTAGAAATCGAACCTGGCACCTTTTTTTCCTTTTTGTTCCGGCTGTCATCTTTTGTGAAGAAACATCTTTCTCACTCACTTTGTTCACTCTTTCTCATGCCTACTGAGATAAAAGGGCTTCAACATCTTGCTTGAAACATCATCTCGGCGTTGTAACTCCTCCGTTCTAATTTTGCACTCTCGGCCACACCAGTTTTTGTGTGAAACATCGTCGCGTCACAATGCCTTTGGGTAAGACTATGCCTGAGGTCAATGAAGACAGCAGAAGTGAGTTGGGCCTCATCTCGCCTGCAAGCATTGAAACCCGAAACTTATCTGTCGAACAGTCTTGGGCTACGACCCGTTGCTCTCTCCCCAATTCCTCCAGATTGAAGTTCGAGCAGTGAGTCATACCATATATTGGGGCGCCGAGAATAACGCGGAAGAGCACTGACACCTTCTCTGCACAGCCTCCTCATGCGATCGAAACCGTCCGTTCCGGTCGCAACCAAGCCATCGAAGTGATCCAACAGCGCGATGACCGCCTTCTCGTCGTCGTCGGCCCATGCTCCATCCACGATCCCGATACTGCCCTTGAGTATGCACGAAGATTAAAGGCCATCTCCGAAAAGCTCAAGGATGATTTGTGTATCGTCATGCGCGCTTATCTTGAAAAGCCCCGTACAACCGTCGGCTGGAAGGGTCTCATCAATGATCCCGACATCGACGGATCCTTCAACATCAACAAGGGCCTACGCCTGTCCCGTAAGCTCTATGCCGACTTGAATGGCATGGGCATCCCAATTGCAAGCGAAATGCTCGATACCATTTCCCCACAGTACCTGGCTGACCTTATCTCGCTGGGTGCTATCGGCGCCCGTACCACCGAATCGCAGCTCCATCGGGAACTGGCTTCAGGCCTGAGTTTCCCCATCGGGTACAAGAACGGCACCGATGGTAACTTAGGAATCGCCATCGACGCTATCGGTGCAGCTGCACATCCACACCACTTCCTCGGTGTAACCAAGCAGGGATTGGCGGCCATTACCAAAACAAGTGGTAACGAACACGGTTTTGTAATCCTCCGGGGTGGTAACAAAGGAACAAACTACGATGCAGAGAGCATCGCAGCTGCTCGCCAGGAACTCCGAAAGAAAGGACAGCGCGAGATCGTCATGGTCGACTGCTCTCACGGAAACTCGAAAAAGAATCATCTGAACCAGCCAATTGTAGCCAAGTGTGTCGCCGACCAGCTGCGTAATGGCGAAGAGGCCGTCATTGGTGTCATGATTGAATCGAACATGTATGAGGGTAACCAGAAGGTTCCTCCCGAAGGACCGTCCGGCTTGGCCAAGGGTGTCAGCATCACGGACGCCTGCATCAATTGGGAAATGACAGTCGATGTCTTGCAGGATCTGGCCGACGCCGTTCGTACTCGCAGAAAGGTCCGTGGTGCCAAAGCCAATGGAGTCAATGGCACCTCCTAAGCGCAGACACACACAAAAAGTCAAATGACCAGGGTTAAAATCAAAAAATCGATAGAGGGGATTCTTTTAGAAGCTGCATTTTGTTTTTCTCTGTGCCTGCATCTTTTTTTGTGTTCACCTTCCGTTCGGCCTGTTGTTCTCCATTGAAACCAAATTCTCCTGCATGCGAAAATAATTTGTTTCTTGTCACGCACCGGACTCATGATGATGACACTTACCTTTGGTTTCAAGGTTCATAATCTTTTTGACCTTTTTCTTTTTCCCGGGTTGCGCGGTTTTCAAGTCCACCTTTTTGCATGTTTCAACCAGGCTATAGAGCTCGCAAAATGATACAGTTCTCTCACCTAAGGAAAAATAATAAAATAAAAACAGACATATATTCTCTGTCCATAACTGTGTTAGAATTGAGCTAGATCATGCCATTGTAGTATTCATCGGGCCAATTCATCTGAGAGAGAACAAGGTATCGGGAATGCTTCCAAAACAATTTGTGTCTCACATACACCCACTCTCCGGAGAATTAAGCACTGTTAAAATGCTCATGCTCAAAGCTGATCCCACCAAAAAAATATAGAGTAATGAAAAAAAGCCACAGGGAGGGAAAAAATGACTATACAAATGGACGGGTTCAATAAAGGCAAGAGGAATCACAAGAGAAAAAAGGTTGTGGTTCGTGCCAGGGTGGTTATATATGGGACACACGAGAAGCGGGATCGTCCAGGGGTCAAAATAGCCGTCAGCCCCACTTTTTGTCGGATATAACCTGTGATTGTCGGGTATTTTAGAGCCACAAACTTAAGAGGAGAGGATTGACAGCACAAAAATTCATGGTGGAGCATCTTTGGCTGCTGTGCACCTGCAGTGACATGGTGCCACAGGTGAATGCCTGTTGGTACGGCCGCGGAATGGGGTTGGTGGGTTGGTGTTTGTGTGTCGGAGATTATGTGAACTCATGGATTTTGACCTACATATGTGCATCGGCCCTGGGAAGGAGATGTTTGGATGCAAATGGTGATGCTCAGGAAAGGATTGAGTTGTTACAGAGTAATGAGGGAAAGCTTGATGGCTTTCTAGGCCAATCTGTTCTATCCTTTTTTTTTACTCTATCTTCGACTCTATTTTTCTCCTTTGGAGGCTCTTATCGTAACCTTCAAAGGTGGCCAGGGTCGTTTGGGTGACAAGGTTTTAGATGTGCCAGCTCGTTGACAAACAACGGCCTGCAGTTCAACCAAAAAGCTAGGGCGTCGAGGGAGTACGGAGGACTTCGTACCTGGACCCCAAGCGACGCAAAGGCCAATTATGTTTTTGCGGTCTGGAGTCCCTTCTGACGAAATCTATGCCAAAAGAGCCATCTAGCAGCGATGGAGCAACCCCAGAGCCGTGTTACGTCTACAAAGGCGGGTCATGAACTAGCCCTACGCTCGTCATTCTCGATCGCAGCGTGCTCAACGAATAGCTGATTACGGAGCTGGCCCCGATTGCGTTCAAACTAGGGAACCTCTAAGGTATCCTTTGAGATTGGTTCGAGCGTGCGCAATTAGACAGGGGATGTCGCACGTATTGGGCAGGGTCTACTCCTTGCACAAGTCTTCCAGGAGATCAAACATTCGTTTCTGAAGCGAGCGGAGTTCCTCCATCGACAGATTATCTTTCGAATTTCCTGAAGGCAGCTTTGCATGCCCCTTTTCGTCCGGTATGGTCGACTGAGGGTGGACAAGGCCATGTCTGATAGCGAAAAAAGGGATCCCTAATTCTCGCAGCTCTGCGTCGAGCGCTCTAGACATACTGGACATGGCACTGTATACCTTTCTATCGTATGTTTCAACTTCGGCCGCATCTTCTGCTGGGGTCTGCTGTTCATTAGTTCTAGCCTTCATCATCACAAGATACTTTCAATCAATTAACATGACAATTTTACGCACCGTCATCTCAGGACCCGTCATAATTGCTCCGCCAACCGATCGTCTATAAGAATCACATCGCCACGTCAGCTCTAAGCATACACTATACGCTCAATTCCACCTTCACATACAGAACCTCATCGAGCTTCTCCTTTTTTTGCGCCCTTGTCTTCTGCTTGGCGAGAAGAGCCTCCCGTGCTTCCCACCATTTCTTTTCGTGACCATGCTGGCTCCGAATAAGCCGCCGAATCTTGGACTGAATGGCTTCATTCTGAGCAACAGTTTTCATTACAAATTTCAACGCCGCAGGCCATGCTGTGATCGACGATGGGTCTGGTAAGCTATCGAAAGGAGCTGGGGTGGATGAGTGTGAAGACGGGTATTGATGACGTTCTGAGGGTGGTTCTGCGTATGGGAGGGCGGCTCCATCAACAACGTCCAACGGTGAGAAGTGCAGAGGGTCATAATCGTCGTTCAGGTTCCTAGGTCGCGCATTGTTCTCGTTTCTGTTATCTGGGGCCTGGCGCGCTTGGGCTGGAACGAAGGAGGAGAGGGTTTTCAGGACGCTTGCAAGATCAGGAACTTGGCTCCCTCCTGAATCCATGGGTATTTCCAATGCAGTTTTGGGAAAATGCTAAACTGAGTCCGTTCCTCGAGACTCTCCGTGGTCGCAGTTCACTGCTGCTAACATCGATCTTACGAAAACGGCTGACATAAGACTGTTGTGCCTTGGCATTCCCCGAAAAAAGTTCGTTCCGCCAACCTCCATCAGAAGCTTGAACGCCGAGTCGATCGATTGATTGACCTTATCCTAAGACCTGATCGCCAAAGTCCCTGTTTCCCCCCCCCATCATAGTTGAGATTATACAGCGAAGATGTCACGGTCCACGGCGGACGCAACTCGATTCACGGCGACCGCGCCTCATGCCCATTCCAAACCCGGATCTACGGCATCGAGATGGCCGGGGATGAAATTGGGACGCACTCAGGAAAGACCCCAGCCTGCAACCGGGGGAGATAGTCAAGAGACCCCCAAGCAGAAAGTTGAGCGGCTTCGCGCGGAGGCTCGCGCCGCCCGAATTGCGAAATCGTCGTCACCAATGGATAGAATAATAGGACGGGGAAGAGTGTGGGCGGATCGGGTTCATAAAGTGACTGTTTTCACCATTATTGCGGCTTCTGGTATGGCTATGATCTATTTTGCAGTTGGAGTGAATTTATCGCTACGTTTTGAGCGGGAAACCCCATATTAAATTGACTACAAGTGCGCTGACGGACGATACTGATTAATAGGTATTGCTGGTATTCTCACCATATATTCCGCGACGTCATTGATATCACATAATCGCCGTCAAAAAGCCCTATGGATCGATAGAGAATTGCAGAAGCTATTGGACGCCAGAAAGGCCTATGTCGCAGGAACCGCTACTCCTGAACAGATTCAGCTTTTAGAGAAAGAGAAGGCAGCCGACGAAGAAAAGAAGAGAAAAGAGGAATTGAAGAAGGAAACGACGTTTTACAAAGCTAAAAGCTGGCTATTTGGCGGGATGAAACAGGACGAGGTAAATGAGAGTGCAAGTGTGCAGCTTGAGACTGGGGAAGAAAAGTCAAAAATATTAGAGGCGATCAACGCAAAGGCAGCAGATGCGGTTGTTGCACCAACAGACTTGATTTCGCAAGAAAACCGGGGCGATCGGGGAACCGACGCTGCGCAAACAATCACGAGCGAAACAAAGAAAGGTTGGGCGAGTTGGTTAACAGGACGATAAGCGGAGCACACGATTCTATCCATTCTCTTACTGCATATATTTTACACTGCGCAGTCGTACCCGTCGAGAAGGAAACATTTACCGACCGCCACGACTGCCGCCAGTGGCCTTGACTCATTTCAGTGGGTTCTCAAATCTTACATCATTACTACTCCCGGTTACCTACCCGCTGTTCGATCTGAGGTTTGGTGCCCAAACCTTTCTGAGCACGGTGGCTTGTATAGTATAGTCTTCGAATTTTGGAGCAGTTTTGGCTTGAAGGTTTCCAGCGATGGGACGGCATTTGATGCTGCTTCTTTTTTTTAATTGCCACCTTACGGAATTCATTTCCGGTGAAGCTTGTTTGCTTTGTTCTTTTTTACATAACCCATGACGGTTGGACTTACTTTTCCCAGACTCGCAACTCATCACAAAATGCCTCTTTTATAGCATAGCAAATCTAGGCGTTTTTGGGTAGGCAATGTTAAGACATGAAGTATGGTGTTAGAGAACTTTTAGCCATCTTTACGCGGATTTTCGCGGCTGGCTCGGATGCTCGCTTTCTCCGCTCTAGATGACTCTCTTCAGCTGTTAGCCTACGTCTATCCATGTCAAAGTGAAGCCATTCGATGCTGGTCCCGCCCGAAAGCTGCGTCATTTGACTGGCAAGGTGCATCTTGGACCGGCCTGCCCGTCTTCGAGAATCCTTGGTTCTGGCAGTCCATAAAAAAAATGTCTCCGGGGACGGGGTCCTCCGTCCTGGTTGGTTGTGCTCACCCCAGCTCCCAGTCGCGGGTATCAATCTGACGAATCCAACATGGGCAGCGATAGCCCCTGTAAATCCGAAGATTTTAACCTTTTCTTTAAGACACTCAGATTGCACGGGAATTTCTTTTTTGGATCGAGAGACGGGTGGGGAAAGCAATGGGAAAAATGGCGCCAAATCGAGATAACCACCAGGAGCTGCTTTGTTGTCGTCGTTATTGACCAGAGACATGATAAAACGCCATCAGCGCAGGGTCCCAGGCAATTCCGTGGTCCAACGCCATCATATTCGCTCTTCCATAGACAGTAACTGCATGAAGAGTCCCCCGTACTCCGTACATCCTACGCTGATCCCAGCCAGTTGGGAGAAAAAAGTGCCTTCGCCAGATAATGCCGTTAACCGTTCGAGCACGGACTTGGTGCAAGCCTCTGGTGGCCAGAGAATGGGCCCTAGCCTAATCCGGCCACGGCTGGACCATATTTTCGGGACATCCGTCGCAATACAGGACGTTTTGACACTTGAAGAATCGAAATAATAATTGTTCATGTTAAATTCCTCTTCATCTTCCCCTCGAGCTGCAGTTCATGGAGCGTTTGGTGGGTTGTTGATCTGAAAGAGGATGATAAGGGTCATAGAACCTGCCAGAAGGCGGCGGGCTTTCGAAAACGCGACGTTTCAACTTTTTCCCCCCATCGCAATTTCAACCCTAATTTCTTAAGTGCGAAAGTAAGGCGCAAAATGTTGCGTATTGGGGATGGCATCCGCGATCAGACCGCTGCGGTACAGAATCACGTCAAGCCACTAAATATGCAGCTAGCGCTGGGGGACTGCCGCCGGTTCCCACATTTTGGCTCTGCGCGGTGATCTGATTTGGCGGGGGGTTCGACATGTCCGACTCCGCGAAGTATCGTAACAGAAACGGCCTTTGCTCCGTAGCTGGAATGACGCCCAACAAACTCAGGAGACGGCAGCACTGGCGACCGGCGTGGTCGAGGCGGCGTCCAGGGGCAGAGCCTGACGGCGGCGAAGAAACCCCAGCATGAAAGAAAGTGGCGGATTCTCTGGCGCGCTCCCCAAAGGAACGTTTCGTGGTACCGGCTGGGGACCCAGAGAGCCGGGATGATGGGGCCATGGGCTCCCGGCCCCGTGGACTCGACTTGCAGATATCTTAGCGTGTTTCTTCATCTCATTAGCGGTGATCTGTCCCTGGCTGGAGGGAAGGAAACGAGAGGAGGGCAAGGGGAAAAAAAAAAAAAAAGTCAAAAGAGAAGCGGCTGCCAGGCAGAGCGGTCCAGACGAAATTTTTGGTGCTGGTGAAATAATGTTTTCCTGATTGTGTCATGATTTTAACGCAAACTTTGGCCTTGACTTTCGTCTCTCTTCCCCTCAGGACCCCGATGGTCGATAGAATAAAATTCCGTTTCCCTGGCCGCCCTGCCGTGCTCTTCACGATCTCAACCACTCGGCCATCAATTGTGCAGACTCATCAGTGGAATGGGTAAAAGCCGTTTTAAATCCACGCTTCCGGACACTCTGTCTCACATCGCGACCACTTTCTCGGATCTCACGCCCGTTTCGTCAGTACCACACCGCCGGTAACTCACCACCAATTCCCCCGACAGTCCAACGGCGGGAAACGCAGAAAAAGGCCACCGAACCAAAAATTAAAACAATAAAAAAAAAACTTGAAAAAAAAAAAAAAAGGAAGAAGAAGAAAAAAGGAATATTATTAATAATAATAATTCCTCATCCAACGTATGTCCGTAGTGCATGGCCACGGATCACACTTGCTCCATGATAGAACCGGATAGCTCAGCGTCGGGTGACACCGAGCACCAGACCGTTGAGAGCGATTACGCCTCCATCGCCTCCACAATCCCGAACTACGTCTACCAGAATGGAAGAAGATATCATTCCCACCGCATGGATCAATATGTCTGTGACCCCTCCCCGTTCATTTTTGCGTCTTGCACTTCCGACAGCGTTTCAGAGTCTTACCTGGTGGCCGGTCTGACTGTGCGCTGTGCATAGCTGCTCCCCAACGATGAACGAGAGCAAGAACGTCTGGATTTCATCCATCATATATTCCGCTTAACTCTGGGAGGGGAATTGTGCTACGCAAAGTTGGACAATCCCCAGCGCATCTTGGACATCGGCACTGGAACTGGTATTGTACGTACTCTGTTGTGCCCCCGTTCTCAGACTCATTCTCTTTATGAACTGTAACACTACTCCGCCCAGCGGCTAACTCAAGACAATTGGTGTGGTATTAGTGGGCCATGGAAGGCACGATTTTATTCTTCCCCTGATGAGATTGGGCCTGTATTGACCAGAGATTGCAGTCGGGGAGACCTTTCCATCCGCTGAGGTTATTGGAACCGACCTTTCTCCCACGCAGAGCAGCTGGTAAGTTGAAGTGATTCGCACCACCCAATGCAGTTCGCAACCCTTAATTCCTATTGGTTGTAGACGAGAAGAGACCATCTAACGGGAGAGGAAATCCAGGGCTCCGCCAAATGTGCAATTTTTGGTGGACGACGCCCTCCAGGACTGGGTTTTTCCTGAGTCATCCTTTGACTTCATCCACATTCGCACCCTAGGTGGGAATATCCCGGACTGGCTATCATTTATGCAGAAATGTTACAAGTGAGAGTGTGCCCCAGATTCTATACTAAATCAATACTGCGATGCTGAACTTGCGTGAAAGGTACCTGAAGCCAGGCGGTCAGATAGAGATATCAGAGTGCCGACCGCGGTTTTGCTGTGATGACAATTCGTACCCCCAGGAATGTCGTACGCGGCACTGGATGGTGAGTTCATTAATCGAACATGTTACTTGGAGAAACAGCCATCCAACCACAGCTTCTAGAATGAGTTTGAGCGGGTGACTGCGCAAACCGGGCTTGAATTTGATCCATTTCCTCAATGTGCCGGCCGCCTTCAACAAGCCGGTTTCCAGGATGTCGAGGCGGTAGAAAGAGTAGTCCCTATTGGAACATGGCCCAAGGACAAGGCGCTAAAGACACGAGGACGTTATTTCATGGCGCAGCTTTTGGGTAATGCCCTTGAGACGTATACCCTCTCCTTGTTCACTCGCACCGCCGGCTGGACCCCGGACGAAGTGTATACGCTACTAAACGGTGTGGCGGAGGAGGTTAGCAGGAACAAGATGCATTTATATACTCACTTGTGAGTGCCTCCCTATATTCTTTTTCTGCTTCTTCTTTGCGGACTCCTAACCATTTCCCTAGCGGTTTCACTGTTGGCAGGAAGCCATGGAATTGAACGACACTTCCTAAGCCTATCACAATATATTCGAACAAAAAGTTAAACGTTTACCTTCTTTATTTTTTAAATTCTGCGTCATTTCGTGGGTAGGTCAGGAACTGCGGAACCGAACAGAATTTGCCGAACTCACTACAGAGACGACAGCTTTGCACGACTTTGAACGAAATCATGAATCTCTTTCGCTATCTGTGCTGGTTTATATGGGAGATACCCCAGTGTCTGTCCATTCAGCTTTCGGGGAAGAACTTTTTTTAGCAGTCCTTTCTTCCCCTTCTCTCCTTTGTTTCTTTTTTCTTTTCTCCCTTTTTTTTTTTTTTTTTTTTTTTTTTTTTGGGGAAATTTTGATGACGTCTTTTCTGAAAAGCAATATCGGATTTGGGGGGCATTTTGATGATACCTGCACAGTTGCAACTTAGAATGTATGTACTATTTATCTTTCCCTCTCTTTTTACGAGATTGATCTACCAGCCATGTAATGGGAAAAAGCAGGCGGTTTTGGTTTTATTGTTTCTATTTTTCTTCCACTTGTCCAAATCCTATCCGTTGATCGCTCGTACCTCTATATGAGCTTCGGTACATGAGCACATCGTAGTTTCACGGAGATCCTATTCTTTCTTCACAATGCGCTTCAAGGCGGAGCAGTCGGGATACGCCAGCTCCGCGCTGTACATAGGACGTACGGCTAAGGGATCGAGGACGTGTCAAGACTTTATTCTCCCGCAATTCGACTTCGGGTTTTACCTTCTGGAGTTTGAGCATATAATAGTGCCACATGGAAGCCACGTCTTCTATATACGATGTCCTGCTGGCTCTGGAAGAATTGCTGGCTGGATTTTCATTCGTGTGGAGTATCCTGCCCATGATTTATTCGATGAAAACGTTTTTCAGCCTTAGCGTATCTTGCCATTGCCTATGAATAGCTACGTAGCTGCTTTGGCATCAATGAAATAAACAAGAGAAAGCTGGATGATTGCAAGAGCTCAAGTTGTCGCAAGCATAAAGAGGTAGGCTGTGGTGAGGACCATTAACAGGGAACTTGTGCTGTCACCAACAGGCTGGCTGGGAGCAAGTTACCTCGCTGGAAAGCTGACTAGCCTAATTGACGATCTTTCTTACTGACCCCCCAGACAAGGCTCATCTCCTGGCATTAATTCTTATCATGCTGTCCGCCGGCTGGCTTCTCTCCAACGCGATGTTGCCCATTGATTTTGACATTGTTCGCACAGCAATGCATACCGAAGCGACCATCAGGGTTGAACCGATACGCTGTCCAGGTTCCCCGCGCGCCGGTCTCCTAAGTCCATTGAGCCACATCCAAAGCGGAGAACAGTTGAGATGACCCGAGGCGAGCTTACCAGCGCTGGAGGTCAGGAGGACTCGAATAGCCGATGAAACCAGCTACCTCCGCTAACTGGTCTAAGGGTGAAACTCAGAGGTCCCTCATCGGCACCCTATTTGGCCGACCACACAGGGACGCCACGCTAGACGATGTGGAGTTGCTACCCAGCCAGCCCGAAGAGCAAGAATTGCAAAGTCTGCCAGCTTTTGTTTTTTCGTTTGGGGAGGGATCTGACCCTCTGCAAGAGGGGGGATTATCATGGTTACGGCCGTGTCGGGAATCGTCCACATGTGATACCGATGGCCAAGTTCACTCCATGCTCCGTGCGTACATGATAATGGAGGAAGAACCTGGATGGTTTGAAATGAATAACTACCCAGCTTGAACCGTGATTTTTCGTTCCCCCCGGCTTGTTTGATCGAAATGAAGGACCTCCTGGCAGTGACCTAAAAGAGACATATATACCACGGTTGACGAGAAACTTCAACTACAGAAGCTTACTCTGACTGGTACTTAACTCTTTTGCTATTGTCCATTTCTATCCTCTATTCTTTTTTCCTGGCTGTGCTTCTTGCAGAATATCCAAGGGCGATCCATTCCAATCAGACGTTGGTCGCTCGACTGGTGTGACCGTCTAGCGAGCCTGTGGCACGAGCCTGTATAGTTTAATTTGGCGTGTCCGTCATATTGAAGGTAGGTCGAGTGCGATGTGCTATAAGTTAGCGCACTGGCGAAATCTTTAGGTATCCGTGATTGACTTCCCATCAACGCTCTTGCTCCAGAAACAGATGCTAAATTTGAATTACAGCTTTGATCCGAACCTTCACTGCTGGTAAGATGCTGTCAGCACTGAAAGATATTCCTCCTGGTCATCTCGTCCTTGGAGCCGCTGCGTGCTTCCTACTATACCAAGTTTACCTGTATTTGACTTTGGGTCTTGCTCGCCGGAAGTTTATTCAGCAAAATGGTTGCCGACCACCTCCAGCATATCCTCATAAAGACCCGATCCTTGGACTAGACTGGGCCTTGAAAGGCATGAAATACAGCCGGTCCAGAACGTTCCTCCAAGGGACACAGAAACGCTTTCGCGAGCACGGCAACACCCACTCGCTAAATGTTATCGGTAAACCTGGTCAGTGTCCATATTACGCCCCGACCACTGCGTTCTGTGACGGTGTTACTCATTATAAATCTATCAGCTATTGCTACGTGTGACCCGGAAAATATCAAAGCCACCCTGGCTACTAAATTCCAGGACTTTGACCTTTCTACTGTCAGAAAAAGTCTTTTTCAACCGTTGTTCGGCAAGGGAATCTTCACAACAGATGGGGCTGAGTGGGAGCATTCCCGCGCAATGTTGCGGCCCAATTTTGTCCGTTCTCAAGTTGCAGATTTAGACATGATTGAGAGACATCTCAAAAATCTATTCAAAGAGATTCCAACAGATGGTTCAACAGTCGATCTCCAGGATCTTTTCTTTGATTTGACTCTCGATACGGCAACTGAATTTCTTTTCGGTGAATCAGCCTATACTCTGACCAAAAAAGATATGGGGTCTGGCGAACGATTCAGCGATATCTTCACCTACTGTACAGCCGTCATCGGGCAGTGGGCACGGCTTGGCATATTCTTGGGGATCCCGGACAGACGATATCACCGGTACGCAGCTGGTGTCCACGAATTTGCTGATCGTTACGTTCAAAAGGCCCTTGAGAACTATCGTGCCCAGCAGTCCGGGATGATTATCAGCGACAAGACTTCAAATCGATACATTTTCTTGGATGAGTTGGTGAAATCTACCCAAGATCCAGTCGAATTGCGCTCCGAAGCTCTTAACATCTTGCTTGCTGGCCGGGACACGACTGCAAGTCTCTTGGCCTGCCTGTGGAACGTTCTATCAAAAAGGCCTGACGTCTGGTCCAGGCTCCTAAATGAGGTCGATGCGATCAATAAAAAGAGACCATCGTTTGAAGAACTAAAGAATATGAAGTTCTTGCGTTATTGTGTAAACGAAGGTTAGTCGTACTTTCGTTACGATTTTTGGCCTACTTAATATACACATGAGATCTATTCACCTTTTCTAACCAACTACATCTCGACAATTAGCCCTGCGACTGTATCCTGTGGTCCCTGGTAATACTCGAGTTGCGGTCCGCGACACCTTCGTTCCCGTTGGAGGGGGTCCGGATGGCAAATCTCCCGTGTTCGTGCCCAAAGGCACTCTGCTTAATTACAGTGTTTACACAATGCATCGACGGGAAGATATATATGGACCCGATGCCGCGGAGTTTAAACCAGAAAGATGGGAGAAATTGCGGCCCGGATGGGAATATCTTCCATTTAATGGCGGTCCTAGAATCTGCCTTGGACGTGAGTTTCCCAGCAGCCCCTTTAACAACTTGGCCTACTCCCTGATTGCATCTCTAATTCGTGATTTTACTTATAGAGCAACTTGCACTTACTGAAGCGTCATATACCACCGTTCGATTGATGCAGGAATTCCGCCACGTCGAATCCCGTGATCCTAATCCATGGGAAGAATTGCTAACGGTTACCTGCGCTAGCGCCCATGGTGCGAAGGTGGCTTTGAGGCCTTAAATCACCGTGCTCGCAGCATCCGGAATGCTGCCCTTTGTTCCTCCCTTTTTTCATTTTTTTCCGCTCCAGTTATGTACATGTGGTGTTTGTTGGTTTCCCAGGGTCTTTGACTTGCGATTTCCATTGCCCCTTCTGTAGCATTGCTAGGAAACTGTTGCACTGATTTCAAGTAGTGAGGCCTATGACCTTGGTACAATTTAACTTCATAGCTAATTGATGCGCGACATAAATGTTTAACTATATGACCAGTTAGCTTATGCAATAAAATGGCATTACACATACCAGGGTGGCCTTTCCCCCATGTTTCCTGGTCAACGCACAGTTCTGCTCAGGATAAATGGTAAAAGTGTCCAATACTTGTGAAGAATGCAACATGCTTTCCCTTTTCTCTGATCCACTAACTGGTCAACCCCTCTATGCAGGGCGTGTGTCAGTGAATGATACGTTTTTATCCCTCGGATCTCTCGACGACGTACGCAGCACTACGAGCGTCGCAAATGGCGGTAAGACTTCGACATCAGCTACACCAATCGCATTTGGCTTGTTGTCTGGTCAGGGACTGCATCGTATATGCAGGATCGAATCTTCCCGGGCGGCCCGTCTCCGCAAGAGCCGATCGGCGGGTGCATCGTGAGGAATTGACTGGGCTAAAATCAACTGATTATTCCGTACTCCGTACGAAGTACAGTGTCAGCGAAGTCGTCATCCCTCTGGGCCATGAAGCTAAGGAAACGTTGATCGAATCAACCCGTCCCCGGTCGCAGCCTCGAAATGTCTTATTGGACAGCCTCTTTCGGTACCCTTGCGGGCGTACTTTGACTGTGGAAAGATTCCATTTTCCCTCCAGGGCACAGACAGGCTAATAACTGGGATTTACCTTTACCGCCTTGCCATCAAGGTGCCTCGGAATGTCAAGAGCCAGCCAGACAACGCTGACCCGGCAATCCCGAGGTCGCATTTATGATACACGCAATAAGCCAGAGTAAATATCTAGGACTAGATGGCCCTAGCTCCTGTCCTTGGGATCTCCAGGATGCAGAGATTAGCTTAGCTTCAGACTTGACTGCTGTTGTTCACTTCATGTAGGAAGACATTTTATGAAGCTGCAAGGAATCTATGATGTTAATATGTTGTTTTCACTAACTAACATATCACACAACCTGGCTGAATAGACTAAAGGCGAATAATATTGAGTCGTCTCTCACAATGTTGCCCTTGAGCGCATACACAGGGATGCTAGAGCAGTCTGTAGTGTCAATCCTGCAAAAATTATAATTTAACAAAAACTTCATAAATGCACTTACCAGGCGCACACCAATGGCAAGGATAGAGACTACAAATCAGTTGTCCCCCTTTTTTTTTTTGGGGGGGGGAGGGCTTAGTCATTCTCATTCTCAAACCTGAATTGCTCTGCGGCCTACAACACCCAGGACACAGATCACACGGACGTATAGCCTTCCAATAGTCCTCAAGAGAGAATGCTTTTTGTCACAAGACCCTATTTAGTAGCGTGATGCTGAAAGACATGCGTCTGGTATATATGATCCATGGAGCCTGGGCTGTGTGGTATAATCCGCGTCCCGAACGCATGGTACCTTACCTGCTGTCCTTACAAGTGCTCCGGGCTCTGCTGTAATCCCTGTGTTAAACAGCATCCCAAATGCCGAAAAAGGACAGCGTGTATCATCATCCCATTCATTGATTCAAGTTCACCATCCCCTATGGAGTCCTCGAGTGGATACAATAACTTAAAATTGATGCTTACTGGGAACAAATACAGGTCGAATATCAACTAACAAGTTGGTATCCAAGTTGAGAGTCAACTGTGATGGGGACCAGGCTATTAAGATTAGAACCCTGGAAGCTTTTAAAAGATGTGGACGTTCCCTTAGGGTAGTTATGTCAATCCTATTCACAACAACCTATGGAAGTTTCTGTACATTGAAGGATTCAAGACCGGTAGTGGGCTGGGACCCCTTAGGAAACAAGGCCCGTCCCATTAGGGCCAATCAAAATGGCCTCGGGTGCCTGTAAACGATAACTTGAGAGTTTTGGTGAATATGGCTATCTTCTTTTCGGTCCTAACTGTAGCAAAAAATGATTTGAGACCAGGCGCCGAGACTTTCTCCGTTGGGTCGGAGTTGATTCGGTGGAACACAACAAGAGAAGAGTAGTATAAAAATATTTGGTACGCATATTATAAAAAGTCAAATATAGTAACTGATGCAATACCGTGGCGCCAAATAATGCATATCGAACAGAGAAAATGTGACAGTGAAGATAACAATGGAGGAAGGGTATCGGATTTCGTATAAAGAAATATCAGTAGCCCGGGAGAGTATGAGCAATATTACAATAATGCAATCCCCAAACCGGAGTGGCTTTGGCGGGAAAAGAGGTCGTTGGTTGAAAACAAGCATACGGTGAGGATCTCGAAGGTTTCTAGGAAGTGGGCAAAGGAGCAAGCCGGATATGCTTTTCACTGGTATATCGACGCCGCCTATATCTAGATGCAAGGCATAAGAAGAGGATGGCACTTCAAGGCTAGGAAGAAGGCAGCAATGAAAGCGAGTTACGCCTCAAAAACTAGCTTTTATTCGTCATCGGGAACGGCAACGGCCACGGCCACAGCGGCGCCGATGATGCCGCCTTCTGGAGCTAAGTCAAGCGTGATAGAGCGTAATTGCTCAACTCGAGACGACGCTTTCTTGGACGCTATCGCTGAATCAAGCATCATATGAGAAGTTTCGGATGTTTTGGAGTCGAAAGTTAATTGGTTGAGATACACTTGACAGCGGGCTCTAAAATTCGGATATTTGTTTATGACACTGCCATCACAGGCGATGTTAACCTGTAGTGGAATGGGATCTTTCGTGCACCCATTTGCGGGAATTTTGAGGATTTCTTCGTCGTTGGTCGATTCGGGTGTTGCTGGGAATATTGGTGTCTCACTTTCATTTCTCAGGCACCAGAGGCCATGGATTGCTGTTGCCAAGTATGCAGCAGCTCGCTGCGATACGCAGTGAGTGACCCTTTTTAAGAAAGCAAGGTCAGCCGGGGTTGGAGGCACGCGGAACTGGTGTTGTTTTTGAAGAAATGCCAAAGACGATTGGAAAGACGGCGACGTATCCTCCTCAATGTATGCTAGGATTGCGGTGTCGAGTGAATATCGTGGTTGCATCGAAGCCGGCGTCTGTCCACCGAACAAGCCGGCCGTCTGAACAGCTTCTGCAGCGATGAGCCTGACAATTTCTCCCAGATATCTCCCGGTGCACATATACTCTAGAGGTTGATAGTCCGGTTTGATATGATTGCGGTTCAGATCATCGTCCCAACGCGTCATCTGTAGCACCCTGCCCCCAAACATGCTGATCTCGGTATTGGTAATCACATGATCGGCTTTTGCGAACCACTCTGGTGATCGTTCTCCGTACTTATCGATTCCAATCGCATGAACTGGGAAATGAACCGCCATATTCGTTCCTGTTCCTAGGATAAGGGACATCCGAGTCGTTGGGTCCGTATAAGCACGGGAAAGGAGCGTGGCCGAACCATCGTTGACAATGGCTTCTAGAGTAACGTTGAGATTACGTTTTCGACATGCTTCCATAATGAGCTCTCTTAGATCGTCGCCAACGGTGCCATCAGAGCAGTGGAATCCCTTCCCCATAGAAATTACCTTGCCACTGCGAATAGACGTTTGTTCAATAGGAAATGACCAGGACAATCCCATAGGTAAAGGCGCTGAATCTTGGCTATATTCTTCAGCACTTGGGGGGAGCATCTCGCCGATCTTCCGCGCCATCCAGTCAAAGAAAGCCTTTCCTGCTAGGGCCTTCACATCCTCGTCAATATGCGATGTTGCCATTTTCAGGATCTTTACCCCCTCATCTTTGCCAGCTAGTTTCACTAGGGCGACTCGGAACGTTGAACCACCCACATCCAACGCGAGATAGGTTCCCTTTTCCTTACCAGACGGGAGAGAGTGGTTGAATGAAGGGAGCATGCTGATATGACTCGATTTAGCACTTGCGCGCAGTTGTGCACCAATTTCATTTGACATGAGTGCAAGATTTTCTGGAGAGAGGTGACCGAGAAAAAGATCCTCGACTTCTTGAACGAAGTCGTTTAATGATCGTCGGGTCCATCGGTTCCTAAAACTTCGTCGTTTCCGAGAAACTTCTTTACGGACGGATCCATGAAGAAGTCTATGGAGTATCCTGACAAGATCGCTGAAGAGCTTTTGCAGCTGATGCGCTGCCTTAATAAGATGGCCCCCCATAGCGAGAGAAAGATAGGCTTGAAACCAAATCTTAGGTGGAATTATTGGGAGTTGAAGAGCACCGAATCAAACGACAGTTTCCGATAACCAGCGACAGAGATCGATAGGCCGAGGGCGGCGAGTTCATTCAATGGCGAGAAAGTTGAATTTAAGCTGCCGAGCTGCAATTACTACAAGGATGGGGGAGGTATCGGGGCTCGAGGTTCAACTTTGTAGTAGGGTATTAATATAGGGTACCACGGGGAAACAGGAACACGGAGAGATTCTCGGTAGGGTCGGGGAGACTCATGCCCGGGTAAATTCGAGCGAAGGATTGTAGCATGCAGAAAATGGAAGGCCAAAGTTACTGTATGATGATGGGTACTTAGGAAGGTGGTGAGAAGGTTGGGGTATAGAGTCAGAAGCCACCTTCCATCAACCCTGAGTCAGTGTCAGGGGAATGTCGGGATGTGCATGTACCGAGTACACCATAACAGTAGGATTTCCGTGCAATCAAAGGGGTACCTTTTCCACTTAGGCAGTATGCAGATGTAGAGAGTCAGAGCGAACTTCAAAGATAACCAGGGCGATTGGAGACGCTGTTATAGACGCCGCGTGAATGGAGAAGAGAGTCAAAAAAGCGATATCGAATAGCGTTGCAGGAGGAACAGGTCCCCCTCCGGTCCGAGCTTACAAGTAACGTTGGATATCAGATCAAAAGACTGAAAACTGCAGCCTGCGTTGCACTCCAAGCCCTAATCTGTCCCCGGCTGAGCACCGCAAGCTCTTCTTTTTCCTTGCCAGACGCTTCCTTGTCACAGCGTCACAATGCTCTTAGGTGTCCGACTCAAACAGCAGCCACTCGGTGTTCGGGTCAACCAAAGTTCCTCGAGAGCAGCTGGATGCACTAGAAAACCACGGTTCTGTTTGGAACGGAATCCATAAAGTGAGGTCGCTGTCTTTTGTTCTTGTAACTTCTCGCTCTCCAAAGTGACCTTTAGGCTTGATGGTACAATAGTTTGAACGTGTAACTGATCCACCATTTCGCTTTTCGAGTAGGACGGTAGGCAACCCGAGAGAGCTCGAGGAAAACACAACTTGGAGAAGAAGCACACTCTGCACTCACTCAAGAGGGCCCCAGCAAACTGGCAGGGTCGCACTGGCAATTTCAGAAAAGGAGCTTTGCAGTACATCCAACAAGCCCAACTCATACAACCACCACCCCCTGGTTAAGTCAGAGTGCAGTTGTAAAGGTAGCAGTGGGACCAAGATGTCAAGACTTCACAGCTCTCGTAATGACTAGGGTGTGGAGAAGCTTATGTGAATGTCTAGCAGCTGCCATCGTGTTGGCCGTCACTCCATCAGTGGAGTGCTTGAGTTGAGGCAAGGTGACATCGGGAGTGGAAACTAAGGTCAAGACGCTGGCTTGCTGCCGACACGCGTGTAAAAAAAAAAAAATATAAAATATGTGGAGAGCCAACGGCACCCGTTTTTGGGAATTTCCCCGAAAATCGGTACTGCTGTAATTTTACTGTAACTGAACATGTTATGTATGATGTTGGATTAGTAAGCACAGTAATTTCGTATGTATGGATGTATGTGTGTATGTAATTACCTGTCACTTTGTGTACCACTGTATTGCAGACTCTGGCTTGAGGAAGTTGATGCTCATGTACACTTCGGCAGAACTGCTTTTGGAACCTTGGTATAAGATTGATATCTGGAAAGCCTTCCTTTCTCTTTACATTATAGCTCTTATATACTATCTACAGGTATTGCTAAGGCTACAGAAGAGGGAGATCACATATACGTATAGATGTGCTAAATATATGTACTATACAAAGTTGAGGTGTTGCGTAACAAAACCAAGTCAAATACGGAGTACAGTAATGCAGTTACAAACTGTAACATGTCAGGAAATACCTTTGTAACAGTCAAGCAGCAACTGTCTCAAAACGTAACGTTGCACGGGCCATGCCTTGGGTGTCATTTTCGGGCTCTTTTGGTGGGGAACCTCCGAAGCTCTTCACAACAGCACCCGGAGCCTAGGGTAGTTTCTTCCTGATGCATGACCACACTCTATCTGACATGCTCCATCCCATTGTGCGCTTATCAGTTTAGCACCTGAGGCCTTTTTCCAAAAGGGGGGAAAATATTGGATGAATAAATGAATTAAAAAAAAAAGGAGGGCTCGGAACATTCACTGAAGCTTCACTCTGGAGCAAAGGGTACTCCAGCCAATGTAACATTACGCTACATCAACAAGTGTAACCCATGGATGCGACAGCCAAACTGGCTTGGAGCCAAGACAAAACTTCACGGACATAACACATACACACGCAAGAGTTCTCCTCGAAACTAAATCAAAGATCAAGAACAAAATAAAAGCCCACCAGAGAACCAGCTCCAAAACGCGCAAGACCGCCAAGACCCTTCCGATAAGATCATCTTATCTTATCTCGGATCATGGCGCGTTTCTGGAGCGATCGGCATGACGTCACTAGCTAAGGCACAAGGCTTCCGGCGCTTCGGGAAGATCCGCAAGGAGGAAACTCTCGTGTGCGCATCATCACCGAATGACAGCCAGGGCAGTTGTCGAACCGGAGAGCGCGCATTATCAACCATAATGGTCACGCAGTACCTACCTATCCGGGAATATCGTTGACATCATCGTGGTCTCAGGCGCCCTTTCTCCCGGGCCGAGCGGCCAGGTCCGTCCTTTGAGGACTGCATTATAAGATCTCCCTAGGCCTAAGCAAACTTTTTGCAGCCAACCAGAACTTGTCTCCCAAAATGTGCGCGTCCTGGGCGTTCCCAGGCCCAGGGTGACGGTCAGTATAAGCTTAGCCAAGCATTGAATAGTGCTACCCCTTCTCGGGTGTATACGAGAAAATTATCTTCAGGGTTTGCATGGAAAGCCCTGGGCTAGCATACTAGGGAATACTCTGTAGTTAGATCTAGTATGATTCCCCGCGCTTTTGACTACGCACACAAGACTAGCCTACATATAAAGAAGCGATCAGCGTCATCATCTATATAGACAGAATGCGCGTGCGATAGGTCCCAAGAACCTCTTTTCATCTGATTCTCTTCAAATCAAAAATAATCTATAAGATTTCCAAATTCCTAGTAATCTTTTTTCCAACCACGAGTGCTGTATATGCCGTAGCCATTGCAACAATCAGCACACAATCTTTATAGTGCGAAGCATCCATGATAAAGCGGATTCTGGGGAACTGCAACAGCAAACTTCAACCCAGAAGAGTTGCAAAAGGAAAAATGAAGAATCTCTACCTGCACTCCACCCTCTCTTTTCGTCTTCCGGCGGACAAGCCCTCGGGAATGTCTCTGTACTTTATCCGATAATCCACATGTCTCTCTGTCGCTAAACATGCCCCACACCAATTTCCGCAATCCGGTTCTATTGTATGGAATGGAGACGGCAATTTTCTACGCTATCAATTTCAATTAATAAGTCAATCTCAAGGATGAGCGCCAAACATGTCTTAGTGATACTATATGTTCAGCTTCGGGAGAGAACATTCACAGCTGGAATATGAAATTGTATGTATACATAAGCACAACGATAAATATTGCCTACGCACCCTCTTGATATGCCCGCCACCCTACTTAAAGGGGCTTCTGTATCACACTATATCCCGTTGCTAACGCTCGAATGGCCGAGGCAGCCCCACAGGTCCCTCCCTCCAGTGCGCCCGCAGATGGGCGTGCCCCACGGCCCACGGGAAGCCCGAGTTTGACACCAACGAAAACTGTAGAGTACTTTGGGCCTAGGTCCCATTGCAAATTGCCATCATACTGAAACTCAGTGGAATTATACCCTTCCTGACTTGTGATGCAATAAAGAAAGCCAGTTTAATTGTTGAGCCAGGTTAAAAGTTCAAACGCCGTTTTGGGGACGTTCCCCATCTATCGGGGCGGTTGACTCGAAGGCTGGAAAAGTAATTTAGATTTGTTGACTTAGTTACTCTCTAATAATGCGGAACTTTGCAAAGAAAGGCGGTGGAGAGAAAGGCCCCGCAGTCCCCATAGCCCCAGAGTCCATATGGAGGGTCAAAACCCCACCCGCATATGCTGTCTATCCTAAGCCTCCAGGCATGGTGGACTGTTTCAACTCCAAGAAGAAAAGAATACCATTGCGATAGCCCTAGTTTTGGGGGAGGGGATGAACTGTGGTCATTTTTCAACTAGTAGTGCCTGATTTGACTTCACATCGTGGATGAAAACGGCCATCCTCCGGACCAAAGAAACATGCAAAATGACGTAGAAATTTGTCCACATGGATAGTACGGACTAACCCGGGCAAACAGTGCTTGGAGCCGGAACAGGTCGACCCCACAAAGGACCCGAGAAAAGGAGGCTACAGGAGGTGGTGGCTCGAGGGGATCCATTAATCCCCCGAGAAATGCAGGTGGCTTGATCGCCTGTCGCCGATCGACTCCCCCTCCCACACCTCAGCTCTTTCATTGTCTGGACCGTCGGCGATGCCCGATGGTCGCGGGAAGCGGTATTGCCATAGAAGACCAATCAGAAAAAAAAAAAAAAAAAAAAAAAGAAATAATAGGAAAATTGAGAAAACAAAATTAAAGTAAAATGGAATCTTTATCTTTATGCTTATTTGCGAGGGAAATGAAGTAGAGGCTCGAGTGTACGGACATAATCTGAACGTACACGTTCCTTACATACATCCATGTATGCATAAAAGTACACTTATCAAAATAATGATGCATTCGTGGGGATCATAAGTTGGGGATACACGGGGAGAGCGGGGTATGAGAAAGAGTGGGAAAGAGAGAGAGGAGGGAGAGAGAGTGAGAGAGGGTTATGTATATCCAAGCAATCGCTCTCCGAGACCGCCGCAAAAAGGAAAAGTGTATATCCGAGAATGAATCCAGAGGTAATATCATAATTCCCTTATCTGTATCCCATGCAAGAAGGTTTTCCTCCAAAGGTTGTTGCTTATGCTATACCAAGATAACAACGGCATGCGAAGATAAAACTCGGGGGGGACATGAATAGGCGGCTATTCATAACGCGTTCAAATAACATAAGATGATGTAAATCCAAAAAAGTAATTCGATAGGGAGGTACCACGCCAAAAAAAAGTCAAAAAAAGTATAAAATGAAATAAATAAACGATGCCAAGATGCATACATCAACTTCCTTCTCCAGCAAAGTACCTTTTACTCCGGTTCCTCGCAGCGATGGCTTTGGGGTCATCAGGCAAATTCATATGGTGCACCACATGCGGCCGGTAGACGGCGTCCACCGGAGCTTGCCAGTCATCTAATCCCAACGGGAAGTATTCGTAGAGTAAATCAGCTGTGTCACTGGGGTTCACGATATGCGGCGAAAGCAAAGGAGGTGCCAGCTGCTGTAGGGATTGTGCGAGTAAGGGCATATTTGCAGAGGTAGAGTATGTATGAGGCATTGCTTGGTTGGCGGTAACCTGCGGTGAGTGCTTCTGTAACAGGGACGTATTATCAATGGGGTGAGTGGTGTTGGTGAAGTGAGGAGCGGAGGTGGTGGCAAGGCTGTTGATGTGTACCGGGGTGGTAGGGGTGGCTGGGCTGGGAACGTCATCTGCAAGAGACAGACTTATGGGCTTTGTGCTGGCACTGGTGCGTCTTCTTTTTCCTGGACGAGGTTGCTCGGGGCTCGACTTTGCGTACGCAGCAGAAGCAGCAGTGGGACCGGTGACCGGTGGAGCGGAGAAGGGAGTGGTAGAAGTGGGAGCACTTGTTACATGAGTCCAGTCAGGGAGGGTGGCAGATGGCGGAGGTTGCTGCTGCGGGGATGAGGGTTTGGCGTCTGTGTCCAGCTTAAGGGGTACCGGAGCCGGTGTTGGGCCCTGGGGAGATTTGCTGCGCTTTGCGGCTGCCTGATGCGACCGGGCAGCGTCAGCCGTGTTTGCGCGATGGAGAGCCGCCGCTTGGGCGTTCTTGCGGGAAGCGGCAGCGCTGCCGCTGAGTGGGAGGTCCTTGCGGGACTGGAAATTGCGAGGGCTTCTTCCTCGCACGATCACGGGGCCGGAGTGGGCTTCCGCGATGGGCACCTTGGTCCCTGTCGACAACGTTGCAACGATCTTCAACCGGACGACAAAATGCTGCTGTAGCTCCTTGCGTCGGCCATTGTTTGCCGTTGCGATGCGGAACTGCAATCGTTTCCAGGCGATCGAGAAGGTGGCGTAGTCGGAATCGAGGTCTTGGCCCGTCATGGTGTCAAGAGGAATGGAAGGAGGCTCCTTTTCGGTCTTATCTTCTGGCTGCCCGGTCGTGTTCGTCGCTGGAGTCTTCCAGGGCACCGAGATGATCTTCACCGAGTTTCCCTCCACAGATTCTGTGGCAGAGACCGTCAGCTCGTGTGCCAGGATGGGAATGCGATCTCCATGCTCGGTCAAAATGTAGCGTAGGCCACGAGGCAGCGTCACGGAGCCGGTGATCTGGAACAGGTTTCGGCGGTAGCAGGTCAATTCTGCGACTGGGGGTGGGATGTTGGTATCGGAGGTGGGAGAGGTGGTCCAGGGGGATTCTGCCAGAAAGAACATCCCATGAAGCTGGGCAGACATGGACAGGGACGTCTTCCGGAGCGAGTAATCCAAAAGCGTGAAGCCGTAGATCGGTAGCGAGAAGCTGAGCAGCTTATGATTATGATCGACGGACGAGTCTTGAGGGGGTTGCTCTGGCGGAAGTGGCTCGAACTGGCTTAGGATATCGGGGAAAGGTTCGTCGTACTGGTTACTCGAGAATCGTCTCATGGGGTGCGTCAGAGATGGCTGCGAGAAGCTCATATCGTCGCCGCTATCGAGAAAGGAGAAGTGTCAGCGAAAAGACCAAACAAAGAGCGGAACCTCTCTCTCTTTTTCCTTTGAGCTCCATCTGGACGGAATGGAGCGGGATGGGACGAAAGCAAGGGTGGGAGAGTGTAGACCAACCTGGCAAACGCTTCATGGTCGTATGGATGAGGGTGCGGTGGGATGTCCAACGGCTGCATCGCGTTCAGGTAATCGACATTCTGCAGGTTCCCCATGGAGAGCGGACTGGCCAGGTAAGGCATGCTCGAGTCGTAATCCATGATGGGCTCGAATGGCGAGAGTGTCGAATGCATCGACGGTGACCTTGAGCTTCAACTTGTTGTCACGAGGGGGGGGGGTGGTGGTGGTTGGGAGTGTAGACAGACAAGCGGAGCGGTAGCCGCGAGGCCGGCAGAAGAGCGAAAATACAAGAGCAGACTCCGCACCGTTTTCCCGAGCAATGGTTCGACTATGTTATTATTATTATTTTTTTTTGGTTTATTCTTTATGAGCCGCCCTTCGGGACTTGCGCCGTTTTAGTTTCGAGCGGTGTCTAGCGCCGAAAGTAGTTGACGGACGGGTTGTGCGCTCCAGCAGACTAACGGGAAAGACGGGTGTAGGGTGTGGTGGCTATGGGAAAGGTAGGTAGAGAGACAGACACACAACACACAGAGAGAGAGTGAGAGAGAGACAAGAGAGAGAGAGAGACAGGAGAGAGAGGGGAGGGAGAGAGGGAGCGCGGGAGTGGCGGAGGGAATTTATCGGTGTCTCAGCAGGACAGGACAGGACAGGATTAGATTATGGATGGAGGATAGGATAACTAAGGATAGGGTAATGAGATAACGATGTCGACGGGGGAAGCAGGATGAAATAAGAGAAGAAACAGGACTGGGGAGCGGCCCGGGCGGGAAAATGCGAGGATTGCGAGAATGGCAAATGAGCTTATCAAGATCTGGTTTCTGGACGAGCAAGGGTTCGCCGGCCTGCGTCTCTGTTTCTCGCTGCTGATGGTGGTGCTTGTGGTGGTGCTGCTGCTTGGTGCTTGCTTGGTGTTCGTTAGCGGCCGGGCTTGGTGCTGCCGACCTGTTAATAATGAAAACTGCCCTTAGACCGATTTTTTCTGTGGGGAAGAGAGAGAGGGAGCAGCCTAACCCGCTAACTAAGTTGATTAGCCAGGAGTTAAGTTAGTTTGGACGAGCCAAATCTCTCTTGGCCAAAAAAAAAAGAGAGAGAGAGAGAGAGAGAGAGATAAATGAAAAGAGATAAATGAAAAGAGAGAGAGAGAGAGAGAGAAACAAAGTAGCTGGCTTCTTGATAACCGCATAGCAGCCCGCGCTTAACAGGCTGAGAATGGCGGAGTTCACTAGCCCGTCTCGAAGAGCGTCAAAAAACATTCGGAATCAACTCAACTCAAATCTCCCGCCTCGTCGAGCTAAGCCCAGTGACCATGTCGCAGTTAAGCTCTCCAGACGGCGATGATGGCGGTGGCTTTTGCGCTGGCCGATCCGCCCGTCGACAGCCGACCTGTGCTTGGTTCTCTGCTTTTTTCTACCCGTTTCTGCTGCTCCGTTCGCTCGTCGTCTCGCCCTTCTGGCGCATTTGCCCGAATTTACCGGCCAGCAGAACTGTACGCCCTGTTCTCCCTCCTCCTCCTCCTCCTTCTCTTCTTCTTCCTCCCCTCCCCTCCCCCAAAATTGTTGGCCCTGTATCATCCGTTCCCGCCTAAACCTGTTCCTTAGCACGCAGCCGATCGAGACTGACTTTCCCGACGAATTTAGCTTCTGATGGCGATCCCTGGGCAATCCCCACTTCGCGCTGCATGAAACTAATAAAGGCACGCGGTGGCTCCTGGTCTTAACTCAACGCCATGCTGCCCTTCTCGCTCTCTCTCGCTCTCTGTCTCTCTCTCTCTCTCTCTCGTCTCGAGTCTACCATTCTGATCACAATACTCCGTACTCCATACTCCGTACATAAGATGTAACTATATCACTCCGTACAAGATCCATCTTGGATACTGGATACAGATTCTACACATGATGGTCCTTGTTCCTCTTCCAGCCCCCGCAAAATGCTCACTCCGTTGGGCGTATACTCGAGAAACAAGAACCCTTGTCCCGCCAAGCATACAGGGTCATAGTTAGTAGTCCGCATTATGATTTGTTTCTGAACGAGCCTTAAAATTGAATGTAAAAGGGGGAATGGAAGCAAAGAGAAATAAAATAAGAATATGCTTGGGAGATATTTACAGGGTTGCGCCCGCATTAACTAACTCTCTTTGCCTGAAGAACCCCGGATAGCCATGCGATCACGCTTGGAAATGCCCACATCCTGTCTGCCACGATGACAGGAAAATTAAAAAAAATAAAAAAATAAAAAAAAAAAAAGGAAAAACCTTCAGTACTCCTCGCCGCCCGTCTGTGGGCTGCGGCCGCGTGGGGATAGCTAAGTAGCTTGTTTCTCTGTCTCTCCTCGATTGCTGAGAAGGGCCATCCATGCCAATTCTCGCACGTTGAGATTTTGGTTCTGTCTGCCACACGATGGGCCGCCATGCTGTGCCAGGTTCTCCCCTCCAAACATGGAGAATCTCCGAAGTTGGTTTGCTTTCTATGTATTTTATTTTTTTTACGGGATGACATCAAAATTTCCCACCCAGATCTGTAAATTCTTATTTGCAGGTTACGGAATAAACTGGCCTGGAACGTTTCCTCGTGGCCTCCCATCAACGGGTCTTGAGACGATTTTACCGCCGAGTCGCTGGGCTCCTCCCAACGCATTATGTTGTTATGTTGACAGGCAGAGCAAGGGTACACCTGGTCAAATGCACGTTTATCTCCAGTATCTTGACGAAATGGGTTCTGTTCATCTAATTCGTGCACGAAGGAGAAAGAGGATAGCCTCATCCATGGCGAATAGGCAAAGAGGCCGAGGCAGTCTCCCTTAAGCTTCTTTTTCTTCGCCACGGCTCCCCCTCGATGGCTGTTTTACCTCAGATAAGAGGCAGAAGGAAAGTTCGGCTGTGTCTCACCCTCGTTCTAGAACTGCTCGCTAAAAGAAGTATCAGCTCGAGCCCGCCAGGCCTCAGCTTCTCAGCACGACGAAAGTGCGATGGCGATTGTGGATCATCAGGGTCTCCGCATCTCTGGAGGTGTGAGAGGTCACAAGATGATGATGATGATGATGATGATGATGATGATGATGATGATGCTTGTTTGGCTTGTTTCTCTCTCTTCTCGCCCTCGCCCGCATTCTGGATTGGACCGGGATCATTTTCAGCCAGACACATGGTTTTCTCAGGTCCAGCGGTAGGTTCCTCTCTCTCGCTCTCACACACACACACTCTCTCTCGGGGCGATAAGCTGTCAAGCATCATCGAGTGTTTATCGAAGAAAATCTCCACCGGCGCTGCCAAAAGGGGACTAACGCCTTGGGTTCGGTTTACTCGGCCATCCTTTCTTTTTCGTTTATCAGCCCTCGGAAGGCGATTTTAAATGATCTGCGTGCAGGGGTTGGTGAACGAGGAGCTTTCCCTTTCTCATCAACCCCGGATTGTCCACTCGACCTGCTCTCATCGCCGATTCGCTGTTCGCTCCCTCCTCCCTTGCACGTATATTATCAACATCATCTTCTGATATCCATATCCCCCCCGGATGTTTGCCCCACAGCATTCCAACAGATTGATCAGCCAAACCGGCGCTGATCATTCCACCACACCATCATGGCGAACAAGGACAGGGACGCACAACCCCCCCCCACCCCCTTCTCTCCCTCTCTCGTGATCCTTCTAGAACACGCTGCAGTTAGTAATCCATTTTGCAGGCGAACAACTATTTTCTCGCGCTGGGGGTTATTTTTGAGTTTGTGGGATTGGTCGGGGACATGGTATGCTCGTACATCATATTCGCTTCCCGGATATTATCATAATACATATACGCACCATGCCCCTGCATCCGAGCTCGTAAACTCGATAGTCCCTGTTCCCCCCCCCGGCCTCCGACTCTGAGATTTTCAGGACCAAAAAGACCATCCAGCATTTCCCTTTCCGTCTCTTTTGTTTTTGTTTTCTGGTTATTTCCCTCGGAGCCCTAGCGTGTTGGGCAGCAAAAAAAAGAAGGAGGGGAGGGAAGGACTTGGGATCCATCATGCCGGTTTCTGGCGAGTTTCGGCCGGCGTTTTTAACAATTCAGAAACAATGATGCAGTTCCAAAGTTCCAAATTAGCAAGATCAGACGCATAATTGACTAACTAACTAGCTCTCTCTAATGAACCGGGCGCCTATGTTTTGTCTCCTGAAGGAGCACTCGAAACGGGGTGGAAGTAAACCTTCTGCACCCCTTGTGCCCACGAGAAATGCATCAGGAATTTAAGCTATCCGCAGTACGGATTATACGCATCGCGCTGCGAGTTGTTCTGCAGCCGTCAAACTCACTAGCTAGCGAAGATCTGCCACGAAAGATTTTCCCTCAGTAGGGCGGCGCCTTTTAGGCTGTTTCCAGGATAACAGGAACCTTGTTGGCGGCGCGCGCGCGAGGGCATGCAACTCATGGATGACATGCTGGCCAAGGGGGGGCGGTTGGGAGGCGGGCGGTCTTCTTCCGTGGGATAATCACATCACCGCCTCTCGACCTGCCCACGCTCTTGGGCCTCGTCGCGCGAGTCCTGCGAGTGCGTCTTCTGGCAAGGCTGTGTATGTGTGTGTGTGCGTGTGTGTGTGTGTGTGTGCGTGTGCGCCTCTCCAGACTTTGATTCCCAGTCCCATGGATGAGGTGTATGTTCTTCCCCTTCTCACCAACCGCCAAGCTCACGAGCGATCTTCGACATTCGCTCTTCTTTTTGGCTTTTATTTTATTTTATTTTTTTTTTTGAGTTGGGGGAGGATAAAACCAGGGATTGGAGTTCACTAACTCTAGCTCTTTCGGCTCAGGAGCTTCAACTTTCGCGAGCACAAGCCAGGGGTGTCTGCAGCCGCCATTCCCAACTCAGCAGGTCGCAAAGAATAACGAGTTTGACGCCGAACACGCTCGCTGCTGTGTCCTCTCTTTTTTTTTTTTTTTTTTTTTTTTAATTTTTGGTTCGCTTTTACCCCCACACACTCTCTCAATCGATCTCGTTCTCCCGCCAGGACAACTTCTTCGCGGCGTCCGGCCCAGCGAAATCTTCCACGCAGATTCTTTCCATCGGAACGGCCGTTGAGCTAATTAGTTAGTTAGTTCGTTAGTTACTCCGCCAATCAGCAGCCCGCGCACCCCGCAATCTGCCCTGGCCTGACTTGGCGGGCGTCCGGCATTTTAGTAGCGAGTTCGTTAATCCGCCAAATATTACTTGAGAGATTCCAGCGAAACAGGCGGTT